CTGACCTGAATAGGGCTCTACAATGAAAAAAATATCAGTGATTAAAGCTTTGAAAAATGTGCAAGTAAAATTCAAAAGACACTAGAAGCCTACAAATTTCGGATGGAAATTACGGAAATTACGTCATCGATAAACTCACGACTGTACTGTGAGATTATGGAAAATAAACCACTTGGGTCCCAGATGTTACGTTTTTATGAATTTTACGAGTGGTATGTTTTCCAGTAAAACACTTGTGTCTTTATAATAACATTAGCTAAAGAACTATTAAAATTTAATGTAATAATATAGGTGCAAATTAAATCAGCACAATCTATATTATAAGCTTACTAGATATTCCATCTGGACCAGCACCTTTAGATTTATTTGGTTTTTTAAAAAGAGACAACACCTGATTAGTATCGGTGGGGATGAATTTGGACTCTTTCGCTTTAAAGGCCAGAGATATTTAAATATTTCTTGAAAACTGGAGCCATTGTTTTAAGGTATTTCGCAAGTCAGTTTTGGGCCAATTGTGGAGAAGAGATCATGGAAAGTGTTTGACAAAGCGGTGGAATTAGTTATACAAACTCCATTCAGCCTTAATTCCTTATCAGACTGACCTGCTGGATTGATGAGAAGTAAGCCCATTTATGAGGTGCCCCGTTTTGTGCGGGTCACCATCAGATTCGCTAAATTTGTTTTAATTTATAAAATAATTCAATAGCCTGTTTGATTTTAGCCTCCCCTGCAGACATTCTTAGGCGTGCGTCACGCGCTCCTTCCTGCGGGGGAGGCTAGTTTGATTTTAGCATTGACTTTGTTATGCATTCTTTTAAAGCAGACCCAACTCTGCCAATCAGATTGGACCTAATTGCTTAAAGTGCGTTATCAGCGGTTAAAAAGGGTTACAAAGTTCTAAACTGGGTATGTGAAAGGGGTACCATATTTTGTCAAAAGAAGGTAGATGAAAGGGCTACCTTTTCTGTCAGAATGGTATTTCATAGGGTAAGGGGTTGGACCTCAGGGCGGAGCCTCCCTGTATAGAACTTTATTGAGTACCCCCTCCCCCGGGGGCAATCCATGGTGTTGTTGTAAACGGGAGTTGATTTCGTGGCCAACAGAAAAGTGTCGACTGTCGACTGCTTGAATATCTCTAGACCTGGCCGGTTTCGGGCTATCAATATTCTAAGAGACTTGCACACAAGTCCTGATCACATTCACATTCACATTCATCGTTTATTGCTAAATCAAGGTACTGTTATACATATTGGTAGCTAAATCATACGTGGGAAAATATAGTAGGGAATGCATGTGATTTCCTTTCTAGTAAACACCCTAATTCGATTGAAAGCTTAAAACACTATTACACCTACATTACTTACGTAAATCCTGAGCGGCTAGGTTTGAGTAATCATTCCATCCTACACAAAATCTTATCAGTTTAAAGGGTGTAGTTTGTAGCTTTTACGTTATTCCGATCGGAAGGCACATCTACATATCTACTTTACACGATGCACATTTTTGCACGCTTGCTTACACAATAGGGATCATATTTCCGGTTCCTATCAAGCTAGTAATTGATCTATTGTTCACTCAAGATTAACAAGTCATGATTCATTGTACAAAGTGTCACGAATTCTTCAACTTTACTACAGTGTTGTTGTAGTAATTTGCATGGCTTCAGAAATAGGATTATATCTCATATTTTGATGTCATCTTTACCATCTTTTTATTATTTTTAGGATTTTATGTTAGTTGAATAAAACACATGCATACAATGAATTAGATGGTGTGAAGCTATCAAAGGAGAAGGTCAGTAATTTAGCTGAGTTTATTAAACTGATAATTTGTAGTAAAATGGCAAACGGAGTCAAGATTGTAAGCTTTAAAACGTTCTTGCATCACATTATTATGCCTTGATCACTATTTGTTTGAACCTCTAATGACAGGGTACAGTCAAACCTTTGCTAATATAATGGACCCCTCCCCTAAGCATAGACTTTGTCATGGTCCCAGTAACTAATACTGAAGATCAAGTGCATTTTTGGTCGACCTTCCTTGAGTGGGAATCTCTCATAAATTGCTCATGGTCCTTGCAGACACTTACAAACACTGCATATTGATCTTTGTGAAATGGACCCCTTTCCATAGTGATAACTAGTTGTGGACCCTACCAGGAAGTTAGGAACACTGCATGTTGACCTTTGTGAAGTGGATAGACACCTCTACTAAAATTGGACACTAACTTTTCATGGACTCAGAGGCACTTACAAACACTGCATTTGACCTTTGTGAGGCAAACACGCACCTCGATCTCCTACCTGAGGGTGGATGCTTTCCCTGGTCACAGTGGTGTCCACTAAGAGAGGTTTGACTCTCTAAAAATATGGCTGTGATATAAAGTAATTTATTAATAATTTATGTTTCATTAAGTTGTTCAAGTTATTTAATGTTCAGCTAGTAGTGATCATATTAAATTAAATTTACACTCTTTAGGGACATCTTTAACTGAGACTCAATGGCGCAGCATCAAGACCTTAAAAGAAAAGGAGGTGCTGATCCTGATCATCAGATGTCAAGAAATCATGCCCCTCCTCCTCTAAGTATTGAAGTGCCTAAAATGAGTGATCTTCCAAACAAGTTAAACCCTTGGAGTGACATCCATCTTCCTGTTGACATTCTTTTGTTGACAGTAGAAGACTGCGAGTTTTTAGCTTGTTATACTTTCTTGAAAAATTCTTTTAAAAGTTATCACCAGACCCTGGGATACGTGTACTTTGGGACCATGGGTGAAAGTGGAGAAGAGACGCTGAAAGTTGCTTTAATGAGATGTGATAAAGGTTCTTCAGGTCCAGGTGCCTCTCAAATTGTTATTAAAAATGCAGTGATGCAACTGAGACCCAAGGCTGCTTTTTCCGTTGGCAGCTGCAAGGGTGTAAACCCAGTAAACACCAAGCTAGGAGATGTAGTGGTGTCCTCTAAGCTTTCAACTGAAGAATTCACAACTCCAGTAAGAAGAAATATTGGCAAACTTAACTTGTTTTCAGCTGAAGGCTGGAATCTACCATTAAAAGATCCAGATGAAGAAACAGCAGTAAAGGTACACCATGACAGTGACATATTCAGTGGTAGTCAATTCGTCACTGAACAACATTGTATGTCTCAATCGCATGTGATTGCAGTTGAAAGGGAAGGGGAAGGTAAGATTATGTCCATATTACTATAATCATAACAATACAGTACCTAATATTGCCAATCATGTTTGACTATGGGACTGCATGGTGACAGTGTGATTAGGTTATTGTGGGGTGTAGTTATTATTATATTATTATTTTGCCAGGAGCATAAATTATTATTAAGCATAAAAGATTGTAAATTACAGTCACTACACTGCAGAGAAAAATTCTGAGCTAATTTGGCTGTGCTATAGATTCTTGTTCACAGTGGATTGTAAGGATCACTGTCTGTTTTTTCTTTCCACTTTCAGGACTGTTTGCTGCAGCCCATGATATGAACATTGAATGGGGGATTGTTAAAGGGATATCACATTTTTCTGATGATAGCAACACCTCTGATGAGTCCTGGAAGTCATTTGCTTCTGTCATGGCAGCTTCTGTTGTGTCTAACATGTTAAATGATCCTGTTGTTTTTAAAGAATGGCCTCACTATGAAGGTATGTCACATCCCTGATCTCGTGATTGATTATTAATAGCGATGAATTTTCTGTTTAGTTATTTTTGTGTAAACTGCTTCAATATTATCCTTGGTTCAAATTTTTCTCTCTGTTTCAAACTCAAATCATACAATTAATATTAAAATACCAAAATAATAGCAAAGGCCGAAAGAAAAACTTGTTTTAGGGGCTTTTCAAATTCATAATACTTTTCTTCTATTCAGACTTGACAGCAAAGAATCAGCCAGAGACAACCACAAAGCCAGACAAACACCTGTACTATCCTGTCAATAAAATTACACTATATCCAGGAGCATTTCCAGATTAGGGCATGTTCAAACACAAAATGGCAAAATGACTTTCCTAAACAGTAAAAGCAAATGACTCCCAGTTTTTTTGTCGTGTCCAGTTGTTATTTCTTTGCCTTCTATGAACCAGCAATACTCTGCTCAGCATGCAAAGCCTCACTAATCTTGTTGTTGTCACTTTCTGTTTGTGACTTAATTATCGCAGTCACGTGATCTTTCTTGTTCCAAGGGTCTCTCCTCTTCCCAGGGGCTTCTCGGTTTTCAAAAATGGTGTCAGTTTCTTTCCCCCAGGGGGGGTACTCAAACAATAAGTGAGTAATAATAGTTTTGTAAGAAGTGAGCTGCTGAGGGTTTGAAACCTGACCCAGTTTAGGACAAAAAAAACCTTTAATACATGCCCTGTTTAGGACAACACCCAGCCTCACTTTTATTACTTAATTTATTGTTTATGACAATTTTTATTAAAGGACAAAATGCACGCTGTCTTGTTTTTAAGCCATTTATTAGCAACTTCAATTAAGCAAATTCACATTAGAGTTATTGCTTTTGTATACTTCGAGTGCAAACAAAGTTCATCAAGCAAATCAGATCAATCGTGCAGGCATTAATACCCTGTCCATAATTAGGACAGACTCACACAAAATTATTTACCCGTTTTAATTTGTACTTGTAGAACTGTTAGCAATTTTTTTTGACTTTGGACTTTTTACTCCTTCATCTTCACATACGTTTCCCTACGGACGAGCTATTTTTGGCGTTTGATGATGAGGTTGCATGCGCACGTACATCACGCAAGCTCTGTGTGACCACAATCTCGTCACCAGAGCCTTCAAATCAGATTATGGCTGCGCAAAAATCGCTGTGCAGTAGTGTGGAGTGCACGTGACAACTCCACCTAAAGAATTATAGTAGGGAGGATTACAAGTAAAAGAAAAATTTGTATTATTTCTGAATCATTTTAGTCATTTTGCTATTTCGTCATTTTGTTATTTTGCCATTTCGTCACTTCGGCATTTTGTGTTTTAAACACGCCCTTCTAGATTAAATGATTGATGAATTAACACTGGTTTCAGTAGAAATAACACTAATCTTTCAATATTATACAGGGCTTCTGATATTTCGCGGAAAAAAAGCAAAATTTCGCGGGATTTTCAGGGGCAAATTCGCGGAAAAATCGGCCGATTTCGCGGGATTTTCGCGGGAAAAAAGTCAAAATTCGCGGAACAATCGGCCGATTTCAGGCGATTTTCGCGGGAGAAAAGTCAAAATTCGCAGGAAAATCGGCCCATTTCGAGGGATTTTAGCGGAAAAGAGTCAATTTTCGAAGGATTTTCAGGGGCAAATAATTTCCTAAGAATTTCTGAGGAAAATCGGCCGATTTCACGAGAAATTTCGGGGGGAAACTTCGCCAAGAAACAATCAGTAAAAAATCGCCGATTTCGCTGGGGTTTTTTTTGGCAAATTTCGCTAAAATCGATCAATTTTGCGTCGATATGACCAGCGTTGGTGAACGTTTTTTTTTAACACGGATAATCATTTACTCTTTCAACAACAGTTCGCTCGAGAAATAAGCGCATGTTAAAGCTATCAACATTATGGTTAGTGCCCAGTTTTTCGCAACGTTCATCTAAAAACGCCTGGTAGTTTTGGGACGTTGTTTACTCGTTGCAGTGATGAAGTTTCAAGCTAAATTTGGACGTTTGGGGTGAATAAAACCGTTCTAATAGCCAAGATAAGTATTAAATATGTTTTGCCGACATATGTTTGGAAATACTTCTGGCGGATTTCGCGCGTTTTTTGGGGAATTTCGCGGGATTTCGCGGAAATACCTGAATTTCGCGGGTCCGCGACCGCGCGAAATATCAGAAGCCCTGAATATAGTTGTTTTTCGCATCTAGAGCACAGTTTTCTCATATTATTGTGAGAGATGTCTTTACCAAGAGAGCAGTCTATTTTTGCCTGGCGTTTTATAACCCCTTTTTCTTTCCTGGAAATTTTGCTGAAAATGCTGTTGGAAGCTCATTTTTTAATCCATTTTCTGATCCCTATCTGGCCAAAAAGATAGGCCAAAATTTTCTAAAATGCTGTAAGTCCAACACTACGCTGCCTTTTGTTCCTTATGCTAAAATAAAATTAATGTAAGTGTTGTTTTAAAAAGTGACACAACCACCTCAACTTTCTGTTGTTGCTTTCTCTCCTCCCTACTTCTATCACTTTCCCTGCCCCATTTTTGCCTTATTTTGGGGATTTACTAGGCTTCTTTTAGGTGAGACATGTTTTTGGGAAAACATTTAGCACCGTCAAATTATTTTGAAGGAAGAGCAGATGGGAAATGAAACTTCTTGAAAACATTCTTGTCTTTGTTTCAGCTGTGTTTGAATTATTTCAATAATTTAGGAACTGTCTAAGGAAATCCACAAAATTGAAAATGATGTTGTGGTATAGTCTCAGTCTATCTATCCACCCACCCACCCACCCATCTACAGCTAGCTCTGACCTGCTCACCATATGAGTTACCCATAGCTCAGTGGTTAGAGCATCCTACAGGTTTCTGGAAGGTTGTGGGTTTGATTCCAGTTAAGGTTTTGGATTTTTTTTTCTGAGCATTTCTTTGTTGTACCTAATATTTATTTTTGGCAATCATTCATCCACGTGATGTTTTCTGTTATTAATTTCTGTAAATTGACTCTGCCTCTCCTGGTAAGGGTTGCTAATCAAGTGAATCAACTACTATTAATTATTGAAAAAAATCTTCTTGGAATTGACAAACGATCCTTGTTAACAGGTGCTGATGCTGTATGCCTTGAGGAGTGCCAGAAACAGCTGCGATCACTTTATGAAACCAGTAGCAAAGTCAAAATCATTCCATGGGACCAGAACTCTGCTGTTGATATTGATGAGATCTACACAGACTTGTCTTGGGTCAAGGATCACAGGACACCAAGAGGAGAAACACAAGTGAAACTTAACCACTACACTGAGATTTTTGGCAGGCAAGGCCGTCGTCGTGCGCCTAAGCGAATTTTGGTTTATGGACAGCCAGGTAAGTGAGTGAATTGAGTAAGAATTGTCTTAAGTTAATTAACTGGAGAATAAGTATTCTCTGCCCTCGCCCACTTTTATTACTTTGCGTTCCCAACCAAAACCGCCATGCAATGCAGGCCAGCAAAAAACAAGAACACAGGAACCCATTGTTCTACTTGTATAATTAATCCAGCAATTTATCAGCTGGTGATGTGCAGGTTTCTTGAGTTTTTTGCTGACATTATGTACATTCCAAGTGGGGTAATTTTTTACCATGCTGTCAAACCCAATGAAAAGTTTTGTTTGTTGCTGTTGTAAATAAATATTATTTAAAGTTTAAACAAAGTTTTTTTGTTAACCAGTCTGATAATAAACAATGTATTTAATTGACTTTAGAGCAATCAGAACATACACTGTAGACTCCAGTTAATGTTGTGATAATGGTAATAATATTGTGACTTAATTAATCTGAAATTCAAGTTTATTAAATGTATGCTAAAAGGATAAACTAAAAAAAAATCTTCCAAGGATAAAATTGTACCGCAACCTTCACAATAGACTAATGGTCACTGGCAGTTTGGCCCAGTTGGTTGAAAGCCATAGTGCAAACCTGGGATTAAATTTTAACCTGGGTTTCTTTTTCTTTTTAACAAAAGCATTTTCTTGGATAATTTTCTCTTTATTTTTAGAGTATCTAATCATCAAATTGTAGACAAAAAGGATTAAACTGAATTTGCTTTTCAAGCTTAATTGATTTCTGAATTCAAGTTTCACACTAACCCTGGGTTATCTTAACCCAGCTTTGAGCAACCTGGCCCTTATAATAGTAATAATAATAATAATAATAATAATAACAACAACAACAACAACAACAAATAATAATGATAATAACTTTATTTTAGTGTCAATGTATTAAGCTTAACAGTTAGCTAATTGCAGACACTTTCCTAAGTGCTGGCACTAATCTATTACATGATTTTTAAAAATAGTTTGTGTATGAACGATTCAGTTCCATTGTCTTTATAATGAATTATTTTGAATATGTAAATGAGATACCATTATCGATGAATGTAACTTTTGCCTTTAATCAAAGCCAAAAATTCCAAAATGCCTTCTTTGAGGCAGGAAGCGAAACTTCTTTTTGGCATAACTTTAGAGGCAAATGCCACCCATATGTTGTTCACTCTGCATTAGTTTAAAAAGTTTAAACATAAATATTCCGTAAAAAATAAAATAAAATAAAATAAATAAATTATCCTAAATTTTTATGACAATTATAAATTCACATTTCAATATTTTACATTCCACTTCACGTGACTTCACATGATAAAAGTAAACCAATGTTTTGAAGACGTATTGACAGTTTGTTGTTATTGTCACCTAGGAATCGGCAAGACTGTTTTCACGAAGAAAGCAGCTTTTGACTGGTCCCAGCAGAGATATTCAGAAACATTAGGAGAATTTGATCTTGTCCTTCTGGTGAGATTACGTGACGTTAGTAATCTCCAAGATGTTCCGTCCATTCTGAGGGCTTCTGAAGTGCTGGATAGTAATGGTGCAATTTCCGTACACAACCTGTATGATTACGTTTGTCGCCATCAAGAAGAAGTCTTGCTTATCTTGGACGGCTACGATGAGTATGTGTACAGTTCAAAAAACGAGTCGCCTGTCTTCAAAATCTGGAAAAAAGGCCAGTTAAGAGATTGTTGTGTTGTAATCACTTCAAGGGAAATGAAAGCTGAGACGTTGAGAAATTTTAGTGATGCTCAATTCAAGATTGACGGCTTTAATTATCAGCACAAAGAAGAGTTTGCTCGTATATTTTTGAAAGATGATGAAGATGTTAAAGATTTTTTTGAATACTTGGAGGAGCACGACCTAAGCGAACTGGCACAAATTCCACTTTTACTGTTGATGTTGTGCTTACTCTGGGCAAAAACAAAACGCGAAGAACTACCAAAGGAACGCGCACACATCATCGCCCAGTTTGTTAACACCTTGTTTGATCACATGTGTGAAAAACAGTCTGCTGAAGAATCGGTTTCTGCCAAAGATTACTCAGATGAATTATACGCATTAGGACGCTTGGCCTTTGAAGCCCTTTTGCAAGGCCAGCTTTATTTCCCTGTTAGTCAGTTACCTGCTGGCTACAGTTCTATCGAGAGGCTGATTGAAGTCGGCCTTTTTCAAGTTTTAAATATGGCGAGTTTGAATCCTGAAAAAGGCGTGTACTTTATTCACAAATCCGTACAGGAATACCTGGCTGGGAATTTCCTGAAAGAAGAGCTGACATCTAAAAAGGCTGAAAGTACAAATTCCCTCTCAAAGTTAGACTCAGTTGAAAAGATCCGAGAGATGATTGAGGTTTTAAAATTTGCTGTTCAGTTGTCAGAAGAAGCCGCGCGTGAGATTGTGATTCATCTTGGAATGAAGAGCGGACTGAAAGAGTTCAAATTCAACAACGAAACACCGTCACATTGGGACTTGTCAGAAGAACAAGAAGATTTTATTTATCTTTGTAATGAGTACTTTTTCGACTTCTCAGCTGAGACAAGAAAAAACCTCTTTCCTACATTTCTTTCTTCTTTAGGAGGAATTCTTGTAATTAGTTCGGGGAAGCTAAATGTTATCGTAGAGGAAAAATTAGTTCAAACTACCGAAACACCCAACTGCATTTTTTTTAGGGAAAACCTGTATTTAGACGATTATGAACACCATGATGACGATTATACAGAGCAGGACTATAGTAATTTAATCATTTTAACACAACAATTAAACGCAGTTATTGTTAGCTGTGCAGGAGAAAAGAAAGCATCAGAATTTTTAAGCAACTTAACATGGCGTAGGATTGATGAATTTTTTCTACAGAAAGAAGAAAACAACACTCACCTTTATTTTATAGCTGATATTGTTAAACGTAAACTTTGTAGAGGCATAGATTTTGATAGTGGAGATGAAGATATAATTAATTGTGATATAATTAAGGCGCTTATTAGTAAACAAGAGACAACAAAGAAGACAAACATGAATGGTGATGAGTCAAGTGAAGAGAGCAGCAGCAGCTGTTGTTCAAAGCGTCATGGTCTCTCCAGGGTTGGGTGGATTGATGCACGGTTGGTGAACAGTTCAGAAGTGGAACAGCTGATTGAGATAATGCCGTTTATCACCGCTCCACACTGGATAGATGTTTGGGGTGAACCCCGTGAAGTGTACGATGCTGAGGTAACAGAGTCTCTGCTGAGGAGCATCCAAGTAACACACAAACTAAAGAGATTAACACTCTGGCGTATCAATGTAACATCATCACCTGCTGTGGAGTTTATCAACACGTTATTTCAAAAAGCACCAAACTTGGAGGAGCTCATCATGTCATACAATCCTCTTCTGGGTGCAGGAGTAGACAGCTTGATTAAACATCTCAGCTGCGCTCCTCACCTGAAGTATCTGGTGCTTGAAGGAGTGAAGATGACTCCACAGCAGGTGATGGATCTGACAACAGCTGTACAGCAGCACCGCAACATCACTTATCTGGAGTCATCCTACCACGTAAGTTTTCCAGTTTTTATCGCAATTTGTTTCTTTATTCTTTGTTTACAGTTTATTTCGCTACTCAGCTCATGCCTTTCGCCATTTTCCTTTCTTTGTCATTTTTATACTCGACAAAACACGAGATTTACTTTTGAAAACAAATCACAAACTTTAGCAGATTCAAAGTATCATTTCAAATTCATTCCTTTCAATTGATTAAACTAAATCCAAAAAATGTTTTAACCGAGAACAAGTAAATTAATCTGAAGGCGTTTTCACTGTGCAAAATAATGGATCAGCGAGCAGATATGAAATTTCTCTTTGAGTCTGGTTCAACTCGGTATCAGCTCACTTAACAAACTTGTGATATATGTATTAACACAAAAATTCCATAGTATTAATTTCTCAATCAATTTTAATTCGTTACTTTTATAAAATGATGAATAACAAGCATAAAATCAAAAAGTGTTCTGTTCATGTTCGACAATTCAAACAAACTAAATTTGCAAAAATCAAGAGAAAAAAAGTGAACCACTTACAGTTTCACTTTTATCGCTAAGGTTTCGTAAAATCAGCAAAACTCAAGTAAAGTTTCTTTGAGAGTCCAGAAAACGAAGAAGTCTTTTTAGAGCTGTCCTTTTGTTTGAATGTCCCTTGCGTTTCGGTAAATGCTTGTCGTCCCGTAAATAACCTCACTGTAGCGTAGGTTTTTGAGACAGCGTTCCACAAAAAATATAATTCCTCTGAGACACTTTGGTTGAAATTTAACACCATACATTTAATCATAGGTAAAGCACTCCTCTATGGTACTAGCTGTCTATTTTTGTCGGTTACTTGTTTTCCAGTTTTACGACGAACACAACAAATCCTGCGTCACTTCGCGTCTTGTATGAATGAGTTGAAGTTCATAAATGTAGTTTCCTTTAGCATGTACAAATCCTTTGACAAATTCCTGAGTACTTGAGGCGAGTTTTTCTCTTAACTGGCATTTTACGGTGTTTTCTGATTCTTTTTGTGTCCATCGTGAGTATTTTTGCGTGAAACTGTCATTCAAAGTGACGTGAGAGAAGACTAGTGACGTGGCGACAGCTGATTGGTTATATAACTACCCACGTGGTAGAATTTTCCCGCCTTTCGTTTGGCAGCGCAGCAAGCGTTTCTTTAGACGAGACGCAGGTTTTTCACTGCCTCCCCTCCCCACCCCCACTAAGGAAAAACTGATCTCTAAGAATTTTATTAGAGCAAGAAATCATGATAGAATTATGATGTCTCGATCAGACATAATATTTCTATTAATAGAAGAAAGGGCTCCATGGGTTCAATAATTCGCACATTTTAAGAGTATATTATTTGATTTTGCTGTTTTGAAAGTCTTGCATGCAAATTTTAGGGGTTGAAAAGTAGAATGTGGTCTTTAAGCTGCGAGCATCTTTAGAGGTGTGTCCAAGAAGTCAGATGCATTTTTTGGTTGGTTTTGTCGTTTTCCCCTCTTTTTCGTATTTTAAACTCCTTTTTTCAACAGAACTTTAGTTCGTGAGGCCCTTGCTTTTTCTGTATGTAGGTAATTTCTAATCACTATTAAACGGCACAAAAATTCGGAGATTTGGGGTTGACAAGGAAAAATCAGGAACGTCTTACGCAGCAACCTAAAGGCTGCTTTACACTAGCGACGGAGTCGGAGTTGGAGTCGTAAGATCGTTTATGACCTAGTGAAAATAAAAAATCGGAGTCATAAGCGGAGTAACCGGAGATCAGGCTCTCTTTTCGTTTCGCTTTTGAAAATTACATTCGTGCGGGCAAGGCGATTTTTTTAGCGGTAGCCGTTAGAGAGAATGCATGAAAACCGCTAAAATTGGGCCTGATCTCAGGTTATAAGAGGCGTGATAAGCCCGCCGAAATCGGAGTCAGAAGAATTAGAACGTTTCCATTTCTTCCGACTCCGCTTACGTTCCGCTTATGATCTAGTGAAAACCAGATTGTCGGAGTCGGAAGCAGAAGCAGAAGGATAAACCAATCCCGATGCACGTTCTCACGCTTTGTGATTGGTTTGGTTCTTCCGCTTCTGCTTCCGACTCTGACAATCTGGTTTTCACTGCATCAAAAGCGGAACTTAAGCAGAATCGGAACCCTGTTTTCAGTAGATCATAAGCTCTACGCTTTTGATTACGACTCCGACTCCGACTCTGTCGCTAGTGAAAAGCAGCATTAATTTTGAGACACTCACAAGAAAGTTTTTTTAGCGCAGCGGTACTCGCAAGACCATTCAGGACGAAATTACTGTTTAGGGCATGCGGATTTTAAGACTTTGAACTAAATAAGGCCTCGGAACGGATTGCAAAATGATCGAAATCTCTTGTTTAGTCCTAAATATAACTAAATTAAAGAAGAAAAGCGTCATTGTCGCAAGCCGAAATATAATATATAGTACTACTTTGACTATGTGCTGTAGAAATGACCTCTTTTCGGAGTGAAATCAGCTTGAGCTTTACTGAGATTGGTCTTTTTAAGTCCCAAGAGTGATCAACATGAATTTTGTCTTAACAATATCAAAACATTATCAAAAGAAAAGGTTAGGAGAAGAAATAAACTGATGAACAAAAGAGGAGTACTTTGATCTTTTATCAAATTTCCCAACAAATTCTATAAGGCAATGTATGAACACTAGTGTGGAGAATTTGTATTTTTATATTGGGGCCTAAAGGGTCAAGGGTAAAATTCTAGTTGTCCCATGAGCATTCACGTCCCCATCACATAGTAGTTAACCCCTGGGGTTATTTTTACCCTTTCGTTGCTTATCACTTAAAGAAAGGTTTTAAAATCTAGACTACACTTTCGATCTTTTAAACGTTGCTTTAAAAGTTGAATTGTGCTAGTGTTATTTTTTGATTTGTTGTAGGATCGTGAAGGGAACGCCGAGCCTGAACATAAATGGCCATCAGAAGAAGATTGGAAAGAGTGGTACCCCAGTCTCTTTTCTCACTCATCAAGTGAATCACAGCCGCAAAGGCAACAGGTTGGTCATCAACTTTGGCAAAAGAAAATCGAGTATAATATTCCTTGAGTTCTGTTATTTCTTGGGGAAAAAAGCTGAAAAAAAAAACATTCCGTTTAAAAACGTGTGGTTTTTCTTCAGCTTTTCAGGGGTTCACTTATTATAAACTGAAACTGAAGGAACAGGAAATATGTTTTGTATCATAGTAGTTTCAGGCTGTTTTTTTTTCTAGTCGCGATTTAATAAAAACTGAGTCAAATCAAAACAGTGCAGTTGAATATAAGTCTTACTAACACTAACAAGTTATTTCTGCGGTCTTAGGCTCTTACTTCACTTCTTAAAAGAAGTGAGCAAAGTCATACCGAAACCGACGGTTCTCTTGCAACGATGGTTGGCTTTTAATTGTGGAAGTTACTGTCCGAACAATATTGCAACGGACTGCAATCCGTTTCGGAAATACCTCTGGTTTTGGAAACGACCTGAAGTTTTCTTCAGACGTTTTTTACCGTTCGGGAAGTCGATTTAATCGTGCACTTTGAAAAGACTTGCTGATTTTCGTACGTGAAGTTTATACAAGCAGGGAGAAAATGTGGATCTTTGAGATGTTTATTGACTTGCAAATTTCACCGCTATCGCTGTAGTAGAGCATTTTTACGCATTTTAAGCAAACATGGAGCTTGAGGCTTGGATCAAACCAGTCAACAGTGCACTGAGGTTCTGTGTTTGTATAGTGTTGTTTTCATTTCTAACAGAAGAGTTTTTATAGCTCAATCATGTTATTGTCTCATCAACTCCTATCCTGTTTCAGGCGTTCAGATAGTGGAAAGTGCCACTCTCCACTATCTGAAAGCCTGGAACAGGCTCTGATCAACTCTTGTTTTCTTTTACCACTCGCACAGATTCCGGCAGAGACTCGCCTCAGTATTCACGACTCACCATTCCCCGCTGACGATCAAGACACCGTGGGAAGAACATTCTCAGCGTCTCCTGATCCCACCGGTAAGGTTTCTTGTCCTCCAGCCCCCCCATTTGCTCTCCAGTTCCCTGCCTTCCCAATCACAGATGTAACAAAACCTGTTGGCAATTAATGCCCTGAGCACTACTAGGAAGTTGTACATAAGTTCGTTGCGCTCAAAGTCACTTTTGGTTTGTGAGATTGCCTTCTTTTTAATAACTGCGGTGTAGACTTGCAACAAGTTGCTCTTTTCACATCCCGGTGGTAATATAGGTGAAAGAAATCGGACTTATACGATTATGTTTATTCATTAGTCTGTTTATAGACCAAAAAGGTATTCTACGTGTTACTACCCGGCATGAGTATTTAACGGACCAGGCCTTTAATACAGAAACGAAAAGCATGTTAATAGTTAGAACAGTCACTGAGGAAGTTTAAGGTGATTCCCTGGTTTTGCACTGCGCATCTCTTACTGCGCATAACAAGATGGCCTCCGTAAAAAAGAGCATGTGAAGTAACATTATTAAAATGAAGTTGACCGAAGAGAAACGCTATTGCAATTTTTGCTTGCGGTTGTTTCTTGCAGAGGTAAGACTCAATGTGGTGGGAATGTGCATAACGTAAGCAGTACGCGTGTTGCTGAGTTCGACTTCCTCACGGAGAACCTCGATAGTGGATGTTTAATTTGTGCTTACTCACTTTGATTTTCATTTAAACGCTTTCTTTATTACATTGTGTCCTAAATGTGATATCTCGATGTAAATTCTGTAAAAACGGATTTTTTAATACTTTCTTCCCCCTTTCGCATACATTCAATTTTGACCTCGCCGCAGTCCTCTCTCAAAAATCAAGGAAAATGCATTTGGTGCGCACTTTCTGCAGCTCTACCGCAAAAACGAGTACGGTGACCCCCATTTTTATTTCATGATTTTAATAAGGACAGTGCTTCCTTTCGGTGAGAAAAAAATTGTCACAAATCTATGTTCAGTTTTTTGGCAATGTTACTAAATTGTATGGATTGAGCTATCACGTGTCGAATAGCGCGTGTCCAATTTAATTCTACTTTGGAGCATTAAGTAAAAACAAGGGCATGAAAAGGCATTTTTCTGGTACGTAAGTGGATAAACAATACATTAAAGTCAAATTCTGTGCGATACCACATGCATCATTGAAAAAATCGTACCTTTTTGTCTAGTTTTGGGCTGCGCGCGGCTTTTGTCAAAGGGTCCAAAATAGCCGTATTTGTCAGCATTGTGACGTCAAAACGAGCACGGTGACCCCCACTTTTTATTACCTTTTTATCATCTTCTTGACTCGTTACATTAGTGTACTAAGTTTCATCTACAGTCTATGTTAGGTTCTTTTACTAGGGAATCACCTTAAAAGGAAAAGATCCTCTTTCTCCTGTTTCGATGTAGACATTTTCCGGTGTTACCTAAAGTGAGCGATGTTTGCACTAATGATCATTTAAACTTAGGTAGTAAAACAAGGGGGCATAACATTAAGAAAGAATAAATATTCTAGAAGTCTAAATATCAGTCTGAAATCGATGGTTTCCTTTATACGTTATGTGACGTGGGATCCTTATTTCTTCCTTTAGCTGATCCAATGTTAGCAGGGCCGTCCATTCCTACTCGTGGGATGCTAATTTCTACCTTCTTTTCCCTTAACAGTTGAACCGATGTTAACAGAGGCATCTATTCCTACAGCGCATGGATCCAGCCACGGTCTGGTACCTCACGTTCAGTATTCAGCGCTTTACACCTCACCAGATATCCACACCCATCATCACAGTGCCACATCCACCATCTTTACACCTGGAGGTTCCTTGGCTACCGATTCGTATCTCATCAGTGGCCCTGGTCCTTCTACAGTCACACAGGAAGAGCCCATTGATAAGGTAATGAGGCCGGAAAAGAGCGATGGGCCGAATTCACATAGCTGTTCTTGTTTATTAGTTTGAAACAGTTTTAAGGATTATTGAGAACGACTTTATGGATCAGTCGTTTACTCAATTACAAAGTTGTTGATAGGAATGTTATTGAGCATTGCTAGCCCCAAGAGTGTCAGAGCTCAAGGTGGTACCTATATTTTCGTGGTCGGAAGGTTTTGAGGACTTTGGTCAGTATTCATCCTTCCTGGGATGCCTGTGTGGATCAGACGCCTCAAACCTGATGTTTGGAGCGCCATTCACCCTCGCTGGGCTCTAACAATGTAAGACACCTGGAGGACACTAACACCCGTAATGAAGATTAAAAGAACAAAAATGCCATTGATTAATAGAAAGCAAGTTGGATGACATTAAAAAAAAATTAACAAACAAAGATGAAACGGGGTTGGTCGAGAGGGGTCGGTTTGACTGACATGTTTCTCTTTAGAAAGAGGCGTACCTTTTTGGTTTGGCCAAATCTTGAAAAAATGGTATTTTGCTGTATTAACCACGGTATAAAAGTTTTGAACTGACTTTTCTGCGTGGTGAACCGTATGTTTTTCTTTGTTTACTCCATAGGAGATGTGGCCACAGACTGAGATTCAAGATTTGCTCCAGCTGGAACGCTTGTCCCTTAAAGAGGTAATGAGGCCGGGTAACGATTAGTCCTTTCAAAGGCACTGTTTTACAGCTGTTTCGGATAACACGCGACCTGCGTTGTCAAAAAGGTTTCAGGATTTTGGGTTTTTCTTTGATGTCAAAAACGTTTCAGGATTTTGGGTTTTTCTGCAATGTCAATCAAATCGTTACCGTAGCATCCACTGTATTGGTCAAATAAAGGTGGCAATAACGAAGTAAATGTTGGCGGGAACGTACCGATTCGTTTTCACTCTCCCATATCTGTGTTTCCTCTGGATTTGGACGCTCTATACGAACAATCTAAACTTGCCATGTTTCAGTATAACGAAGATTAAAAAGACTTAGGGTGCGTTCGATTGGGAAATCCGGATTTAGATTTTCAGAATCTAAATCCGGATTTCCCAATCGAACGCGAAATCCGAAAACGGATTTCACCTCCGAGAAATCCGTTCTCAGGGTGGATTTCAATTAAGAAATCCAAATCTGCATTTCAGGGATTTCCTTTTTACCGTTCGATTGGGAAATCCGAAAAAGGATTTGCAAAACTATCCTCGTGAACAGTGGTCTTCTTTTTGCTAAGTATGCGTGCGCGTGCAAGACCGCTGTTCTTAAGGACAGTTTTTCAAATCCTTTTTCGGATTTCCCAATCCAACGGTAAAAATGAAAATCCAAAAACAGATCTCTCAGCGTTGAAATCCGTTTTCGGATTTCGCGTTCGATTGCAAATCCGAAATTTGGATTTTAAAATCTATATCCAGATTTCCCAATCGAATGCACCCTTAGAGCTAAGGTAAAACTTACTCCGCTTTTCAAAAACACACGACCTAACTCTGAATTTTAAAAGCAACGAACCTCGAAATACACAAAACGGATCAAAATCCAATAATCACAAATCACAAACCATGACCTTTGGTTTCCTAAGAGGTCCGCTACATGTAAGGGTAAAATTCTAATTGTCCAATGAGCATCCACGCCGCCTTCACATAGTACGGTTATTTTTACCCTTAAATTGCACATCACTGAAACAAAGGTTTTAAGATGAGTACACTGTCGATTTTTTAGACGATGCTTTCAAAGGGGAATTGTGTTAATTGTTATTTTGTGATTTGTCGTGGTATGATTACGGGAACACCAGGCCAGATCATATATGGCCGTCAGAAGACTATTGGAAAAGGCGGTTCCCCACTCTCTTTTCTCACTCATCAAATGAATCACTGCCGCAAAAGCAACAGGTTGGTCATCAACATTTGCTAAAGAAAATCGAGTGTAACATTTCCTGAGTTTGGTATTTACTGCTCGAATAATCCGTTTCCGAAGTATCTGTGGTTTAGGAAACGACCTGAAATTTACTTACGTTTATCACCTTTCAGGAAGTTGTTTGAATCTTTTTTAAGTACACTTTGAAAAAGTCGCTGAGGAGACCTTTGTGATATTTAGTGACATAAAAATGTCAACGTTCTCGCTGTACTGACTAGAGCCTTGTTACGCATTTAAAGCAAACATGGAGCTTGAGGCTTGGAACTGACCAGTCAACAGAAGACTGGTTCAGCGACTGACGTTCTGTCTTTGTAAAAGGGTTTCTTTTTGTTCAACTGGCACACTGGGTGCTGGTCTCTTCTCTGCAGTTTTCCAATCATTCTACTGTAACTAAACTCTATATACTAGTAAGATGGACACTACACTGAACCAGACAATTGGAGTTGGTATCCATCTTAGAGAGAGTTAGGGTGACCTGATTATTTTTTAGATTATACACCTAGCTGAGTGATCTTAATACTGTCAAATAACTGTTAGCAGGAGATCACACGTTTAGTTTGGTTCCGCGGTACTGATTTGGAATATTCCGTCTTTGGTCCCTTTTTCAGAGGGACACTCGCCCAAGTGCTAAGGACGTGCCGTCACACAATCCTGGAACCGCAGGACCAGTTCCAGTACCTCTCCATTCTGCTGGAAACCGTAGGAGAGCCCCACTGCAGGCACCCCAGCCGCAAAGTGCACGTCCACGTGATCCGCATCTTGGTGGTCCAATGTCTTCAGTCACGTTCCTGCCAGTACCTCCCAGAAACCGCACGAGATCCCCACTGCAGGCACCGCAGCCGCAAAGTACAAGTCCACGTGATCCGCATCTTGGAGGTCCTATGTCTTCAGTCACGCACCTGCCAGTACCTCCCAGAAACCGCAAGAAAGCCCCACTGCAGGCACCGCAGCCGCAAAGTACAAGTCCACGTGATCCGCATCTTGGAGGTCCTATGTCTTCAGTCACGCACCTGACAGTAACTCCCAGAAACCGCACGAGATCCCCACTGCAGGCACCGCAGCCGCAAAGTACAAGTCCACGTGATCCGCATCTTGGAGGTCCTATGTCTTCAGTCACGCACCTGCCAGTGACTCCCAGAAACCGCACGAGAGCCCCACCTCAGGCACCGCAGCCGCAAAGTGATCCGCATCTTGGAGGTCCTATGTCTTCAGTCACGCACCTGCCAGTACCTCCCAGAAACCGCAAGAAAGCCCCACTGCAGGCACCGCAGCCGCAAAGTACAAGTCCAAATATAAGCCCCTCCAAATATAAGCCCCCCCAAACTCGTAGCGCAAAAAACCCTCCGTTAAATTGCCCCTCCAAATATAAGCCCCCCGGGGGGCTTGTACTTGGAAATGTCCCTCGAATGCAAAGTCAAACAAAGCAAAAATGGTAATTTCCTTCCAACTATAAGGCTAGCCCAATCGATTTTGAAACGCAAATTTCCCTCCGTAGATAAGCCCCTCAAAAAGAGCCTTTGAAAAATATAAGCCCCGGGGCCTATTTTCGGAATTTTAAGGAATCTGCCCAAAAAGATCCACAACTTTCTAAAATGCTGTAAGTCCAACACTACGCTGCCTTTTGTTCCTTATGCTAAAATAAAATTAATATAAGTGTTGTTTTGAAGAGTGACACAGCCCCCGCAACTTTCTGCTGTTGCTTTCTCTCCTCCCTACTTCTATCACTTTCCCTGCCTCATTTTTGCCTTACCTTGGGGATTTTCCAGGCTTCTTTTTGGTGAGACATGTTTTCGGGAAAACAGTTAGCATCATCAAATTATTTTGAAGGAAGAGCAGATGGGAAGTGCTACTTCTTGAAAACATTCTTGTCTTTGTTTCAGCTGTGTTTGAATTATTTCAATAATTTAGGAATTGTCTTAGGAAATCATGATTTTGTGGAATTTAAAGGGTGTCCACTCCCAAACTTTTGATGGTATGGTATAGTCTCAGTCTATCTATCCACTCACTCACCCACCCACCTGCTCACCATATGAGTCACCCATAGCTCAGTGGTTAGAGCATCCTACTGGTATCTGGAAGGTTGTGGGTTTGATTCCTGCTAAGGGTTTGAAATTTTTTTCTGAACATTTCTTTGTTGTATCTAATACTTTTTTTAGCAATCATTCATCCACGTGCTGTTTTCTGTTATTAATTTATTCATATTTTTGTAAATTGACTGTCTGCCCCTCCTGGTAAGGGTTGCTAATCAAGTCAATCAACTACTATAAATTATTGAAAAAAACTTCTTGGAACTGACAAAAAAATCCTTGTTAACAGACGCTGTATGCCTTGAGGAGTGCCAGAAACAGCTGCGATCACTTTATGAAACCAGTAGCAAAGTTAAAATCATTCCATGGGACCAGAACTCTGCTGTTGATATTGATGAGATCTACACAGACTTGTCTTGGGTCAAAGATCACAGGACACCCAGTGGAGTAACACAAGAGAAACTTAACCACTACACTGAGATTTTTGGCAGTAGAGGCCCTCATCCTGTGCGAAAACGAATTTTGGTTTATGGACAGCCAGGTAAGGGAGTGAATTGAGTTAAGAATAATTGGAAGAACACAGAAGTGATTTCTCAGCTGGTGATTTGCAGTTTTCTTGAGTGTTTTCATGTACATTCCAAGTGGGATAATTTTTTACCATGCTGTCAAACCCAATGGAAAGTTTTGTCTGTTGCTTTTAAAAATGAATTAATTAAGTTTACATTTTTTTTCTGTTAACCAGTCTAATAATAAACAATACATTTAATTGGCCTTAGAGCCATACATACTACTGTAGGTTCCAATTAATGTTGTAATGTTGTAATGGTAATAACATTGTGACTCAATTTTATCTGAAATTAAAGTTCATTAAATGTATGGTAAACGGATAAAACTTCCAAGAATGAAATTGCACCACAACCTTCTGAGGTTAAATATTAACCCAGGTTCTTTTTTTATCAAAAGCATTTTCTCGGATAATTTTTTCTATTCTTTTTAGAGTATCTAATCATCAAATTGAAGACAAAAAGAATTAAACTGAATTTGTTTTTGAAGCTTTCATATCTGAATTCAAATAAATAGTCTAGTGTATCAAGGATTCATTTTCGTTGTCTTTAAAATACGATCGTAAGATTGTATTTGTAGCTTACTAGATCATAAATAATTTTCAGCTTATGATTTTTAAGATTTTGGTAACAGATTTTATCTTTTTAACTTTTAGCCATTAGTTTTTCTATTCTATATCTATATTATCATCTTATTTTATCATTTTTATTATCATAATTATTCATAGTTTTTATTATTAGTAGTATTATTGTTTTGTTTTGTTTTGCTTTTTTTCCCTATGGCGCATTTGAATATATTTATATAGATATTTGCGCCTTATAAGTTTTGAAATTAAATTAAATTACATTTATCATGAATAATAATATTTTGAATATTTAAATGTGATACCATTATTGATGAATGTAACTCCAGTGTTTAATCAAAGCTAAACATTTCAGAATGCTCCCTTAGGCCCAGTTCAGACGTCGTGCTTCTGCCGTGCCGAACTTAATTGTAATTTGGTTCGACTGTAGCACGGCAGGAAAACAACTTTGATTCAGACGTCGTGCCAGAGTCGAACCAAATTTAGGATTTACTGATGCCTCGTAACAATTCTTCTCCCAACTTCCCGTGGGAACGCAATCTCGCCAAAATGCATTAATATAATTTATGAATTTTGTTTAGCGCGGCCGAAGCACGACGTTTGAATCGCTGCCGTGCCAGAGCCGTGTAGCACGGCAGCTCTTGTCGAACTTAATTGCTTGCCGAATTTAATTCAAAAGTTTGATTCAGACGCCGTGCTTCTGCCGTGCTTTTGTCGAACTTAATTCCTGAATTTAGTTCGGCACGGAAGAAGCACGACGTCTAAACTGGGCCTTAGAGGCAGGGAAACTTCTTTTTTGCACAACTTTAGACCACCCATGTTGTTTACTCTGCATATGGCATAAAAAGTTTAAATCTAATTTTTCCGTAAAAAAAATAAAATAACATAAATAATTTGTAAGTTTTATGAAAATTATAAATTCACATTTTAATATTTGATATTCCACTTCACATGACTTCACATGATAAAAGTAAAACAAATCTGTTGAAGACGTACGTATTGACAGTTTCTGTTCATATTGTCACCTAGGTATCGGCAAGACTGTTTTTACGAAGAAAGCAACGTTTGACTGGTCTCAGCAGAGATATTCAAAAACATTAGGAGAATTTGATCTTGTCCTTCTGGTGAGATTACGTGACGTTAGTAATCTTCAAGATGTTCCGTCCATTCTTGGGGCTTCTGAAGTGCTGGATAGTGAAGGTGCAATTTCCGTAGACAACCTGTATGATTACGTTCGTCGCCATCAAGAAAAAGTCTTGCTTATCTTGGACGGCTACGATGAGTATGTTTACAGTTCAAAAAACGAGTCACCTGTCTTCAAAATCTGGAAAAAAAGCAAATTAAGAGATTGCTGTGTTGTAATTACCTCACGGGAAATGAAAGCAGAGACGTTGAGTAATTGCAGTGATGCTCAATTCAAAATTGACGGCTTCAATCGTCAACGTCAAGAGGAGTTCGCTCGTAGATTTTTGAAAGATGTTGGAGAGTTTTTCACATACTTGGACGAGCACGACCTAAGCGAGCTAGCACAAATTCCCCTTTTGCTGCTAATGTTGTGCTTACTCTGGACAAAAACAAAACGCGAAGAACTACCAAAGGAACGCGCAGACATATTCGACCAGTTTGTTAAGACTTTGTTTGATCACTTGCGTGAAAAACAGTCTGCTGAATCATTGGTTGTTAAAGATTACTCAGATGATTTATACGCATTAGGACGCTTGGCCTTTGAAGCCCTTTTGCAAGGCCAGCTTTATTTCCCTGTTAGTCAGTTACCTGCTGGCTATAGTTTGATCGAGAGGCTGATTGAAGTCGGCCTTTTTCAGGTTTTAAATATGGCGAGTTTGAATCCTGAAAAAGGCGTGTACTTTATTCACAAATCCGTACAGGAATACCTGGCTGGGAATTTCCTGAAAGAAGAGCTGACATCTAAAAAGGCTGAAAGTACAAATTCCCTCTTAAAGTTGGACTCAGTTAAAAAGATCCAAGAGATGATTGAGGTTTTAAAATTTGCTGTTCAGTTGTCAAAAGAAGCCGCGCGCGAGATTGTGATTCACCTTGGAATGAAGAGCGGACTGAAAGAGTTCAAATTCAACAACGAAACACCGTCACTGGAGGACTGGTCAGAAGAACAAAAAGATTTTATTAATCTTTGTAATGTGTTCTTTTTCGACTTCTCAGCTGAGACAAGAAAAAACCTCTTTCCTACATTTCTTTCCTCTTTAGGAGGAGTTCTTGTAATTAGTTCGGGGAAGCTAAATGTTATCGTAGAGGAAAAATTAGTTCAAACTACCGAAACACCCAACTGCATTTTTTTTAGGGAAAACCTGTATTTAGACGATTATGAACACCATGATGACGATTATACAGAGCAGGACTATAGTAATTTAATCATTTTAACACAACAATTAAACGCAGTTATTGTTAGCTGTGCAGGAGAAAAGAAAGCATCAGAATTTTTAAGCAACTTAACATGGCGTAGGATTGATGAATTTTTTCTACAGAAAGAAGAAAACAACACTCACCTTTATTTTATAGCTGATATTGTTAAACGTAAACTTTGTAGAGGCATAGATTTTGATAGTGGAGATGAAGATATAATTAATTGTGATATAATTAAGGCGCTTATTAGTAAACAAGAGACAACAAAGAAGACAAACATGAATGGTGATGAGTCAAGTGAAGAGAGCAGCAGCAGCTGTTGTTCAAAGCGTCATGGTCTCTCCAGGGTTGGGTGGATTGATGCACGGTTGGTGAACAGTTCAGAAGTGGAACAGCTGATTAAGATAATGCCGTTTATCACCGCTCCACACTGGATAGATGTTTGGGGTGAACTCGGTGAAGTGTACGATGCTGAGGTAACAGAGTCTCTGCTGAGGAGCATCCAAGTAACACACAAACTAAAGAGATTAACACTCTGGCGTATCAATGTAACATCATCACCTGCTGTGGAGTTTATCAACACGTTATTTCAAAAAGCACCAAACTTGGAGGAGCTCATCATGTCATACAATCCTCTTCTGGGTGCAGGAGTAGACAGTTTGATTCAACATCTCAGCTGCGCTCCTCACCTGGAGACACTGGAGCTTTGGAGAGTGAAGATGACTCCACAGCAGGTGATGGATCTGACAACAACTGTACAGCAGCACGGCAACATCACTTATCTGTGGTCATCCTACCACGTAAGTTTTCCAGTTTTTATCGCAATTTGTTTCTTTATTCTTTGTTTACAGTTTATTTCTACTCAGCTCTTGCCTTTCGCCATTTTCCTTTCTTTGTCATTTTTATACTCGACAAAACACGAGATTTACTTTTGAAAACAAATCACAAACTTTAGCAGATTCAAAGTATCATTTCAAATTCATTCCTTTCAATTGATCAAACTAAATCCAAAAAAATGTTTTAACCAAGAACAAGTAAATTAAATTAAATTAATCTGAAGGTGTTTTCACTGTGCAAAATAATGGATCAGCGAGCAGATTTTGACAAAAAAATGACAGTACAAAGGTAACACCACTGTTAAGAAATGAGGCGATTTTAAAAATAATTTACCGAAGGAAACGCGAGAAATTCACGGTTAATTAACTGCGCTGACGTCACAAAAATCCGAAAAACACGCGTGGTTCGGGGTCGTGTGAGCAAAATACGCGCGCGAGCAGTCACGCCCGCATGCGCATAATGCACAAAGCTACTGAAAACATGTGGTTTCTTTGAAGAGTACGAAAGCCATTTTTTTGAAGCCGTGTATCAGTATCATTACGGTGATATCTCGCCAGTTGAAAAAGGAGGGATAGCGGATTCAATTTTATACCTAACACAGGATGTTTTCTTCGAAGTACTTGACTATTGTAGCTAAAATTCGAAGCGTGGTGGTCACTCGTGAGGATGGCGATCGTCGGCGATGAAGACGGTGGTTGTGCAAGGATCGCAATAAGCCCTTCATTTCCTAATCTGCTGTACACTGTTTGCAGATCTTCAAATGTTAGCCCACTTCCGGATACTTTTTCAACCTTGTTCTTCTTTAGGGATAATTTCGACGGCGAAGTTTTTCTTTTAAAGTCTGCTGTAGAAGATGGCGCCGATCTATATTTAATCGTATATCATGTCTTCAGATACATGTACAAGACCGTAGGTCTCGACGGACAACTATAGCTTTCGTCAAGGGTCAATCTGTGAGTAAAAATTATTTTTCGTTGTGCAAAAACATTGTCCATTTACTTCGACTATTTAACGTTTGTCTACTTTTGAAGCGAAAGAATTGATGTCTTTGGAAAATTTCTGCTTTGTTTTTACATGCAATTTACTCTTTTGGGGATCGATATTGACTTTTATAAAATAACTGAGATAGTACGCGTGATCTGATTGGTCAAAAACCTATGGTTTATTATACCGGTAAACCCATAGAAAAAGGCATCCGGACCACGCGCCATAAACAAAACCGGCTATTGATCTGCAAACAATGATTTTAGAAAGGCTAAAAAAAGAACAAGTTACTTACCCAGCCCTTCTTAATATCAAAAGCGTTGGTTTCCACATTTTATTACTGCCATAGCTTTAGAAGTAATAAAGTACAAAGCTGGAAAGCAGTTTACATTTCACGACGATGCCAAATCGCTGAGAAAGGCAACAACTGTGTGAATTTCTGGTGTACAAAGTCTCCAGGAAAACTTGACCATGTGCCAACCAGCAACAAAACGGATAGTTTTAGCATTCTTGATTTATTTTATGTCAAAATTAAATTCCTTAGTGAAAGAAATTGTTCCAAAAAGAGATCTCTGATCAAGATATGGTACAAAATCGGCCGCTGTAGGTTGTAAACAAGCTGCCAACGATGATGAAAGATGTCAGAGTTTCGGGCTGGTTTTTTCCAACATTTGCACAAATTATTCGCTGATATGGATGCCATAACCTACCTCAAACCACCTGACTTTACAAATCGACAAATATTAACGCCAATATGTGGCTACGGCAAAGAAACTTTTCTCCACCACTGACATATTTCCATCGGTCGCTGTACGTGCATATGAAAGTTACATGCGACAACTTCGCAAATGCAGCCACGTCGTTACCGCAGCATTTCTTAATCATATTAAAGTCCAGAAAACAGATCTGAAACCACTGCGGCTTGTAAAATGTGAATGAAGTCCTCCATTACAATAGCTGCCAGTTCCGTCTGTAAGCACAAAATTCTGACTGATCGGCTCAACAAAATACAGCGGCGTACAGTCTGATGTTCAATTAATTTCTACTTCGGTAGTAAACAAACCATGAACGTATTTTTTCATTGTACGTTCGCTTGAATAAATGTTGACTTTTCCTGTAAAACAGCTTTCATAAGTTATCATGTAATGAGTGCAAAAACTCGTGTTTTGAAGTGCTGCTGTTTGTTGTTTTACTGAACTGAGTTTTAAGAAAGTTCAACGCTATTAAATCGTGAGTCATGATTGGCTTATGATGACTTTAGAGAGAAGACGTGACTTGATCACGGTACTAAAACCATATTTTTTACCGAAAAGACTCCATTCTACTAAAAGTTATTTTATAAAAGCAATAGACCACACTTTCTATGGGTTTACCGGCGTGATAACCCACGCGGGATGTTGGGAGAACACGAGAAAAAGCTTGTAAATCACGAGCCGAAGGCGAGTGATTTACAAGCTTTTCGAGTGTTCTCCCAACATCCCAAGTGGGTTATCACGCCGGTAAACCCATAGAAAGTGTGGTCTATTGCTTAAGTAACCGGTGTAACATTGTCCCCTCTCATAAATGTTTGACCTACACTAATCAAACTTTTTGCACAATGAGTTTCAATAGAAAGTTAATAAAGTTTTTTGGGGGGAATATTTCAAAACTGAGAGGCCATGTTTGTTTTAATTTTTGCGTGGACGTCGCGCGGATTTTAAAGCTCGCGCCATAGTAGTGCTCAGGCTGCGCACGGCCAATTTACTCTAGGGAGCCACCTTAAACGGCACAAAAATTCGGAGATTTGGGGTTGACAAGGAAAAATCAGGAACGTCTTGCGCAGCAACCTAAAGGCTGCTTTACACTAGCGACGGAGTCGGAGTTGGAGTCGTAAGATCGTTTATGACCTAGTGAAAATAAAAAATCGGAGTCATAAGCGGAGTAACCGGAGATCAGGCTCTCTTTTCGTTTCGCTTTGAAAATTACATTCGTGCGGGCAAGGCGATTTTTTTAGCGGTAGCCGTTAGAGAGAATGCATGAGAACCGCTAAAATTGGGCCTGATCTCAGGTTATAAGAGGCGTGATAAGCCCGCTGGAATCGGAGTCAGGAGAATTAGAACGTTTCCATTTCTTCCGACTCCGCTTACGTTCCGCTTATGATCTAGTGAAAACCAGATTGTCGGAGTCGGAAGCAGAAGCAGAAGGATAAACCAATCCCGATGCACGTTCTCACGCTTTGTGATTGGTTTGGTTCTTCCGCTTCTGCTTCCGACTCTGACAATCTGGTTTTCACTGCATCAAAAGCGGAACTTAAGCAGAATCGGAACCCTGTTTTCAGTAGATCATAAGCTCTACGCTTTTGATTACGACTCCGACTCCGACTCTGTCGCTAGTGAAAAGCAGCATTAATTTTGAGACACTCACAAGAAAGTTTTTTTAGCGCAGCGGTACTCGCAAGACCATTCAGGACGAAATTACTGTTTAGGGCATGCGGATTTTAAGACTTTGAACTAAATAAGGCCTCGGAACGGATTGCAAAATGATCGAAATCTCTTGTTTAGTCCTAAATATAACTAAATTAAAGAAGAAAAGCGTCATTGTCGCAAGCCGAAATATAATATATAGTACTACTTTGACTATGTGCTGTAGAAATGACCTCTTTTCGGAGTGAAATCAGCTTGAGCTTTACTCAGGTTGGTCTTAAAGTCCCAAAAGTGATCAACATGAATTTTGTCTTAACAATATCAAAACATTATCAAAAGAAAAGGTTAGGAGAAGTAATAAACTGATGAACAAAAGAGGAGTACTTTGATCTTTTATCAAATTCTCTCAACAAATTCTATAAGGCAATGTATGAACACTAGTGTGGAGAATTTGTGTTTTTATAATGGGGCTTAAAGGGTCAAGGGTAAAATTCTAGTTGTCCCATGAGCATTCACGTTCCCATCACATAGTAGTTAACCCCTGGGGTTATTTTTACCCTTTCGTTGCTTATCACTTAAAGAAAGGTTTTAAAATCTAGACTACACTTTCGATCTTTTAAACGTTGCTTTAAAAGTTGAATTGTGCTAGTGTTATTTTTTGATTTGTTGTAGGATCGTGAAGGGAACGCCGAGCCTGAACATAAATGGCCATCAGAAGAAGATTGGAAAGAGTGGTACCCCAGTCTCTTTTCTCACTCATCAAGTGAATCACAGCCGCAAAGGCAACAGGTTGGTCATCAACTTTGGCAAAAGAAAATCGAGTATAATATTCCTTGAGTTCTGTTATTTCTTGGGGAAAAAAGCTGAAAAAAAAACATTCCGTTTAAAAACGTGTGGTTTTTCTTCAGCTTTTCAGGGGTTCACTTATTATAAACTGAAACTGAAGGAACAGGAAATATGTTTTGTATCATAGTAGTTTCAGGCTGTTTTTTTTTCTAGTCGCGATTTAATAAAAACTGAGTCAAATCAAAACAGTGCAGTTGAATATAAGTCTTACTAACACTAACAAGTTATTTCTGTGGTCTTAGGCTCTTAGCTCACTTCTTAAAAGAAGTGAGCTAAGTCATACCGAAACCGACGGTTCTCTTGCAACGATGGTTGGCTTTTAATTGTGGAAGTTACTGTCCGAACAATATTGCAACAGACTGCAATCCGTTTCGGAAATACCTCTTGTTTTGGAAACGACCTGGAGTTTCCTTCATACGTTTTTTACCGTTCGGGAAGTCGATTTAATCGTGCACTTTGAAAAAACTTCCTGATTTTTGTACGTGAAGTTTATACAAGCCGGGAGAAAATGTGGATCTTTGAGATGTTTATTGACTTGCAAATTTCACCGCTACGCTGTAGTAGAGCATTTTTACGCATTTTAAGCAAACATGGAGCTTGAGGCTTGGATCAAACCAGTCAATAGTAGACTGAGGTTCTGTCTTTGTATAGTCTTGTTTTCATTTCTAACAGAAGAGTTTTTATAGCTCAATCATCTTATTTTCTCATCAACTCCTATCCTGTTTCAGGCGTTTAGATAGTAGAAAGTGCCACTCTCCACTATCTGAAAGTCTGGAACACGCTCTGATCAACTCTTGGTTTCTTTTACCACTCGCACAGATTCCTGCAGAGACTCCCCTCAGTATTCACGACTCACCATTCCCCGTTGACGATCAAGACACCGTGGGAAGAACATTTTCAGCACCTCCCGATCCTACCGGTAAGGTTTCTTGTCCCCAGCCCCCATTTGCTCTCCAGTTCCCTGCCTTCCCAATCACAGATGTAACAAAACCTGTTGGCGATTAACGCCCTGAGCACTAATAAGAAGTTGTACATAAGTTCGTTGCGCTCAAAAGTCAGTTTTGGTTTGTGAGATTGCCTTCTATTGCGGTGTAGGCGTGCGACAAGTTCTGTCCGTAATTTTGATGAAAGAAATCGGACGTCAAGGACTATGTTTATTCATTAGTTTGTTTATAGACCAAAAAGGTTCTCTACGCAGTACTACCCGGCATAAGCATTTAACGCACCTGGCCTTGCTGCCACATACAGAAACGAAAAGTATGTTAGAACAGTCACTGAGGAAGTTTAAAAGTAAAAGATCCTGTTCCGATGTAGACATTTTCCGGTGTTACCTAAACTGAGCGATGTTTGCACTAATGATCATTTAAACTTACGTAGTAAAACGAGGGGGGCATAACATGAAGAAAGGATAAATGTTCTAGAAGTCTATTAGTCTGAAATCGATTGTTTCCTTTATACGTTATGTGACGTGGGATCCTTATTTCTTCTTTAAGCTGATCCAATGATAGCAGGGCCGTCCATTCCTACGCGTGGGATGCTAATTTCTACCTTCTTTTCCCTTAACAGCTGAACCGATGTTAACAGAGGCATCTATTCCTACAGCGCATGGATCCAGCCACGGTCTGGTACCTCAAGTTCAGTGTTCAGAGCATTTTTCCTCACCAGATATCCACACCCATCATCACAGTGCCCCATCCACCATCTTTACACCTGGAGAATCCTTGTCTACCGATCCGGATCTCATCTGTGGTCCTGGCCCTTCTACAGTCACGCAGGACGAGCCCATTGATGAGGTAATGATGCCGGACAAGGGCGATGGGCCGGATTCATATTGCTGTTCTTGTATATTAATTAGTTTTGAAACAGTGTTAAGGATTATTGAGAACGACTTGGCCCTTCTACAGTCACACAGGACGAACCCGTTGATGAGGTAATGAGGCCAAACAAGAGCGATGGGCCGGATTCATATTGCTGTTCTTGTTTATTAGTTTGAAACAGTGACAAGGATTGTTGAGAACGACTTTATGGATCAGTCGTTTACTCAATAACAAAGTTGTTGATAGGAATGTTATTGAGCATTGCTAGCCCCAATAGTGTCAGAGCTCAAGGTCGTACCTTTACTTTCGTGGTCGGAGGACTTTGTTCAGTGTTTATTCTCATCATGAACGAAGGTTTTCGATCGGTTGAAAATTTTGACCGGACACTTCGTTGACATGGAACCGTTCAATATTTTCACTCTGTTCCCACGAAAATTTGAACGGCTGAGCGTCTGATTTTTGTGGTTCTGCGTGAATTCAATACCTAAACGCACGGATTTTCAACCGCATGAAAATTCTTCAGGTGCCGAGTGAACTACCACCGGAAGGTTTTCCAGGTTGTCTGTCCGCTGTTTTATTAGACCAGTCAGGTGTCGTTAGTGGATGTATATGTTACCTTCAAGAGAGCTCGACGTATTTGTTTCTGGGGCATGCTTGAGCTTCTTTTGGTCTAAAAGTCTAAAACTTTTAACGACTCTCACGAATTCTGAAAACGTTGCGTAAGGGTGTTGTAGAAAGGAAATTTCGTGGAGTGCTGAGCACTATTAGTTGTCATTAACATTTCGTTTTAGTTAAACTTTGGGTCTATAATTAAATGACTACTTTTAAGTCGTATAATTTAGTGACGCGTCAGTCAGTCGATTGGTCAGTCCTCAAAAGCTTACATATATAATCACTCGAACTACATGGCACTATTTTCTCGATTGCAGGAGTTGAATCTTCCCAGCTCATCTTCCAAAGGGTATGATGAACAAGTTGCCTTACAAGGTTGGTTATAAACAATAATAAAGAAAAAAAGGCAAATTTACATACGATCTTACAGTATAACCAAGTTTTCCATTCCGCGCTTAATACGGACACTGTGCCACGTCACTTTGGCATCCGTATTAACAGCGAGGGCTTCACTGTTTGTCTGTTTCTCAAAGAATTCTTAGAAACTGAGTCATACAAAATTGATTTTATAATTACAGAAGAATCCCCAAGAAGAAAACAGAAAGCAGGAAAAAAGTGGAAAGTGCAGGAGATGATGACTGAAGGTATACTTAAGGTCATTTACATCCATATTATACAGTTAAACCGCTCTACAATGGCCACCTTGGGGACAGAAAAAAATGGCCACTGTAGAGAGGTGTCCGTCAGTGGAGATTCGACTGTTGTTGATAACAGAAAAGAGAGATCTTATTTAGTTCTTTAAATTCCATTTTGTTGTGACACCCTTTGACTGCAAAGACAAAAACTCATTTGGTTTTTCCCTATTTGTTGATGTGAGGTTTAAATTATTTAGTGTTCTATTAATTTGGATTAAACACTTGCTACTATTTCGGAATACAATCGAACCTCCACTAACGACCACCTCTACACAATGGCCACCAACGGCCACTTCTCTACAATGGCCATTTTGTTTCTTGGCGGACAGTCAAGATAAAAGGTAGTTATAAAGGTAGTTATAAGGCTGTGCTTAAGTTGATATTTTCTAGTGTTTGTCTGTGGCTTTAATGTTAGCAAGGGGTGGACCATTAGAAAAGTAATTGGGGGTTATGGATTTGCGCGAATTTTGTTTCGACCAAGTAAGGTCAAGTAACTGTATATAGTTTTCTTTTTGAGGTGAAATCCTTGACACGAATTTTGTTTGGACATATACGTGTCATTTCATTTTTTATTCAAACAAGACGCCTAAAGTCGTTTCCGTGGGATGCGTTGGTCTATGGAAGCACAATAGCGTCCTATCTGAATTTGGAAAAATTAGGAAACCGGAAAGATGTGTCATGTTCTGAGCATCGATGAGTAGGTTACCTGTATGGGTTGGTTTAATGTGCTTATGACTGAATTTATAGTAGCCTGCGTGGCAGGCTACTATTTCTCCCCAATCCACATCCCCTTTTTGCTTCCTCCCTATCCCCTACCCCTTTCGACATTGATCGCAAGGATGGAGTTGATCTTGTTTTGATCTATCGCTATGTGAGTTTCACACACACTATACTTTATTTCATGCACATCATTTTGCCATCTCCACCCGCAAATAGCAAAAGCTAGACGAGGCGGGCGGTACCACGATTTGGATAAGAAAAAGAAGTTGTTTTGCATCAAAACAAGGTTTACCAGTATAACTTAAACTGGAATGTTAACGGAAACAAGTAATGGAGAACATGCGCATAATGCTCTCTGATTAACCTGAACAGGAACTATATGTATAAAGATACGTCATATCTTGGTAGTAAGTTGCCACAGGTAACTTTTTCAAAGGGAAATAAACATTGTAGTTTTAGGTTAATGGAACAAAACAAAACAAAACATCCGCTTGCTTTATCCAGGGTCGAACCTAGGGTTACAAAGTTCGATAAAGTTCCAATGTTTTAATCCAAGATGAAAGTTTAATATTCCAAGATGCTCTTGATACGGTTAAAAATTAATTGCAATGTGTTTCCAAGGTCTCAAAGTTAACATAGTTCCAATGATTATCCCTGATTCCAAGGTATAATAAGTTTACTAAGGTCCTGATCCGTGTCCCATCCAGAAGTCCAATCCATGCCGAAAGCGAGTCGTCGATCGACGAGGACGATATTTTCGCGATTTCACCGCCAATCGTCAAGGGTACGAGTTGAAATTTACGCGATTTAACCTCCCATCGTCAAGGTGTTTTCGATAAGAAAAGAAAAAACTGAACTCTAGCTGTGCTCGGCAAAAACTGGCGAACTCCGAATAGAAAAGTCTATCGGAAATCATGGCCCGCAACCAGACGCTACTACAACCTTATGAAAAAGCCAGACCTAAACAAAAAAGAATCATGAAGGGAAGAAATAATTTGGCTTAGGTCGCCTTTCGTGACTTGCCAGTATCCCGAAGGATTTCGCTGGTTAACAAGCCATCCTAAACCACGAGTGAGAAAACTCAAGGGCGACAAATTTGGCAAGGAACGTTCTGATTTCAACGTTCTTCAGAGGAAGCAAATCGATTAAAAATCGATACAGATTTTGTACAATCTGATTGGTCGGCTTAGAAGAAGAGATAATCGATAAAGATTTTACGCAATCCTATTGGCTGGCTTTGCAATTTTGGGTACAACCGAACCGGATTTTTACCGTGGGAGTGCCACAGGCATCCCACGGAAAAAATGTTTTAAAAAGTCACAGATAGCATACTGTAAAGGCTATTTTTTACATGCAGATACTTGATGTTTTGTAATTGACCTCTCCAAAAAATACCATAACATACTATAATGCTCTTTGTTTGTCACTCCCAAATTTGTTACATAAGCATTGTTTTCAGTTTCTCTATGGTATGTTATGGTATTTTTTGGAGTGGTCAATTAAAATTACAAGACACGACAATTTCAGCAACTTTTTTTCCCGATAAGTGGAGGCTTCCAATGAGACTCCTTTCAAAATAGATCCTTGGAAATGAAATTTTCAACATTCTGGGTGGGGCTCTGACATCAAAAAGAACTGCGTTCACTCGCGATTTGCACATCTCCCATAATATAAACCTGACATCAGGCTCTATTTTCGTTTCGCTTGGTAAATAAAATTTTGGCCTGCTGGCGGGAAAGGCGAAGCGCTACCACGTAAGAGAGAATGTATGGAAGCTGCTAAAATTGGGCATGGTCTCAGGTTACCCATTATAAACCCTGTTTGCCCCATAAAATTTTGCATAACTTTTTTTTTCATACTCTTGGGTAGAAATTGAAGACAATGCTCACGCAATATTTTTGGGGCAAACAAGTTGTATTATGGGAGATGTGCAAATGGCGAACAACATTTTTCTTTGGAATATGGCCTTTTTTTAATGGAAAATAGATTTGAAAACGACAAAGAGACAATTGATGTTCTTTCCTTCCTTATAAACTCGCGGAAGCAGGAAAACAGGCTGCAGTACTGAGGCCCTGTGGGTAGCGATAGACTTAAGGTGCTGGTAGACACCACGCAGTACTGGAGAGCGAACTGCTTCACAGTATAGCGTCCTCCAAAAATTGTCCGTTTTAAAATGTTGTTTTGAAGAAAATCCGTTCTGTGCAGATGAGGCCAGGAAAGAAGAAATCTTGTTCACCTTACACGTTTTGCACCCCATTCTGAAATTGGGGCGGATTGTAAAGACTTGTAGGTCAATGCAGGAATTCCTTTCAAGGCTAATCCGCGAAAATTTTCCCTTCCACGAATGTCTTCTACTTCGCCCAATGTACCCCCCCACCCCATAACTTCAACTCTTTTGAGGGATTTTTTATACGGATACTTTAAAATGGGAAAATTGGATATTGGATCTAAACGAATGTCAAGAAAAACATCTGCTAAAACAGCGTTATATTTGTCCCTAGAGTTATCCTCCTTTCTTTTGTGTTTTCCCTAACCTTTTCAAGCAATGGTCTCAACAACAAACAATAAAAAGATGGTAAGAAAAGTGGATATCTGTATCTCTTGGACTGAGAACTGCATCAAATGTTTTCTGTATTTAGTTCCCAGAGAGATCAAAGCACAAGGACCAGAAGCAAAGCTTGCTTATCGAAATGCCTTGAAGACTGGAAAGGTGAAAGTGTACCGTGCTCGAATCATGCTGATCGGTCAAGATCGAGCAGGCAAGACAAGCTTAAAAAAATCGTTCTTAGGTCTACCATTTGACCCTGAGGAAGACAGCACTGATGGAATTGAAGTTGATCCATCAAAATTCGAAGTCGACATCGATCAAGTAAAGAACTGGAAACGCACCGATAAAAAGCTAAGTGTGTCTCAATTTGCCTTGGATCTTGCAAAAATGGTGGCTAAAGAAATACAGGAACGAGGTAAAGACAAAGAAGAAGATGATGAAGAGAACGGCGACGACGACTACGAGAAAGAAGGAAAAAAACAAAAAGCAAAAAACTCAAAACTGGATTATCCTGATGAAGATACAAACAAACAGACAAAAATGGGTCAGGTTAGTGACCAAAAAACAACTCTAAATTAAAATACAAACGAATCAAACCAGGAAGGCACAAAAAAAAAAAAAAAAAAAAAAAATCAGCAACAACAATAAGAAATTCTTCATACCTTAACAGACTACATGATAAAAATTTCACTGGTCTACGTAGCTGTCGAGTGTTGTAGTTTTTTGGCGACGAAGTCGCTAGAAGGTTTGGATTTTCCCTCGAGGCGTCTTCCACGAGCTTCTACGTGGCAGCAAGAAAGTGCCCCGGGCATAACAATCCTGCCAGCTACACAGGCTGAAAATTCACTTGCTTGGTTATCTTCATCCAAGTGCAAATAACCTGCTGTGGACTAGAATAGCAAATCACCAGACACTATTATTGGATCGTTTATATACGTTGTGGTTCAACTTTTATCCTTGGTTTAAACTTTGTTTTAAACTCATTATCATACATTACCATACCCAAAGACAAAGGGAATCAAATTTAAACCAAGGATAAATTTGAACCACAACATATGTATACATGTATGTGAAAAAGCAATTTGTCAGTAATCTGTTAAGTTTATATGGTGATTCACTGTTGTCAACCTGAAACGACTAATGTATTTATTTTTATCAAAACTTGTAGTCTGGTCTTAACTCTCCTGGAGAACCTCGATTGTCAAAACCGCCAGTGGTTAACTCCCAGATGAATCAGGTAAATATAACGTTTCTCTGGTTGTAGCCTAAAATTCTCTAAACCTTAATTCATTATGAACTTCCGTCAAAAGAATTCAAGAAAGGGAAGTTTTTACACACATCATGCAGCCCGGGTTTCAATTTTCAATTTGGCTTAGCCTTTATCAGAAGATAACGGAAAATATGATTACTACACTAAATAACAGTACGTCGTTAGCTAACTAGAATGTAAAAGGAAAAGAAATATTTAGCGTTGTTGCAGATCCAGTTTTCTGTTTTTCTTTCTCTTTTTTGCGATGTTTTTCGAAAACAGGTATTCAGTAGGACAGTCTCTCTCCTCTTCTGACTTATAGGTTTGATCATTGCAGATTAGGCTTTATTGTACCAAGGCGCCCTCACTGTCCCATGACAGTAAGGCGAAAGGAAAGTGGCAATTGTAATGATTGTGAGTCGTCTCTTAAGAACCTATCTCCTGAAAACTTTCTTTCATCTTGGAGTAAAAGAAGGGGAAAAACAAAGTGTTGTGTGGCCGGGAATGTGGCTTTTCTTTAAAGCAAAAACTTAATGAGCCTACGTATAGTGTACGTTAAAGATTTTGGGTAATAGTGTTATTTTTTTCTGGCTAACTCCAAGCACATGAATTTTATTCGGTTATAGCCTGCTGTACAATAAACGTCGTGTTTTTTCAAGTACAAATATGTACCCAGGTGTATTTACAAAGCAAGTGCCTTAAAAGCAACTCGCTAACTTCTTATCTAACACTTGACTTTAAAGTTTTGACGTGTTATTATGGAAAGTTTGATGAGTATAAATAGGAGCTAACCATTTTCAAATTAATGTCTATTAAGAGAGGATCTTGTGCTTATCTATTAACATTACAGGTCAGTGCTCCACCCCCAATGGCTATTTTTTGCTTATTCAGAGCTTTATATTCCTTGTGTATTTACTGTAATGAGTAGTATAATGAATTACAGTGTGTAACCTTCACATAGATTTAACTCTTCGTCTACCATTGTTACCTTACCAAGGGTACCTCGCGCTTTGCTTATTTCCAGTTGTCCATCTGGCGCGATCTCTCGAAGTGTGTCTTGAAATTATAAACATGTTTAAAAACTGGAAAGGCTGCCGTTATCAGGGAAAGATTCACTTGGGAACACAGTTGCAGTACAGTTTGGTACTAACAGATATTATGTTGAAATATCTCGTGTATCAATATACACACACGATGATACAGAATATCGGCCTTTTGCTTCTGAGAGAGACAAACTGAAGGACCGTCGCTTGCAAAACGCCCCTTTGTACATATTTTGTCATAATTGTCCAAAAGGTACATGTTAACCAATTTAAACACTTGAAACAATTTAGGAAACATCCAGGAATGCCAGAAAAGAGACAAAAACAGCAGCCCCAGGCGTTGAATTAAACATCGACGCTACTCTACCCCCAGAAGAATTTACGGATTATCTTGATCAAATTTTGAAAGGTCTAAACCTTCAGACTGATGCAACAGCAGTTAAACATCACATGATCCTTGATCTGTGGGACTTTGCTGGTCAACAGCTGTACTATGCGTCTTACCCAGTTTTTTTATCGCCACGAGCAGTTTACATGTTGGTTTACGATCTCAGCAAAGGATTAAACGACCTAGCTCAACCTTGCTTTAAACAGGGAGATCGGAAAATTCCTCTCGCTAACCCAAATAAGGAAACGAATATGGAAAATTTGTTGTCTTGGCTGGTTTCAGTCAGCAGCATTTGTTCATCAGAATCAGAAAAGGCGGTGAAAGATCAGCCCCACTGTCGCCCTCCAGTGTTCATTGTAGGAACACATGCGGATAATTTAAAACAACATCAAGAAGACATCGACAAGATCGAGTTGCAGATTAAGAGGGAAATATCTGAAAACAGTCAAAATGTAATCCGCCCTATCTTCTCGGTTGACAATACTCAAGGATCGTCTGATAGGGGAGTTAGTGCGCTCCAGAAACGCATGATTGAAGTTTTGAAACAAGAACCATACATGGGAGAGGAGATACCAATTCGGTGAGTTTTTAGTGGAGAATTCTGAAAAAAGGTTTATAACTCTCCAGTATTCTCTAATGTATAACGATGTTGACTGAAAGTGATAGAACTCTGATAACAGATGTTTAAGTGGTTAGACGTAGAAGTAAACTCGCACCAAAACTGAGGGTCTCATGGTCTTACATGAGGAGGAGATGGCTGCAGTCCCTAGTGTGGGTTGTTGTTGTATTATGATCTCCCAGATAACGCTAATACCTATCATGTGTTGGTGTAACGGGATCGAACCCGTGGAGTTCTTTTAAAAATAAACTAAAACGAAGTTACCGTAAATGTCTGTTATATGAGATAGTCAATAGTAAGGGTCTGGTCATTTTTTTATGGTGTAAGGAGGGCAGGTGGGATTTAAAGCGTATTTCCTGAAACTTCACTCTCCCCGTCGTTTATACGACCACACTACATTAGAAGGTTTTTTACGTGGTCCATTGTAGTCCTTAATATTTGGGACGAGCCTTCCCCTACGCCTCTTCCACGTAAGGAATTGAACAAACAAAATAATCAAATAAATCTAAAATTAAAGTCTAGTCAATTTCATCAAACATTGTAGCCTAGAATCAGTCTGTACAGGGTATTAAATGTAATTTTCTTGTAGGAACATCAAATGATATCGTTCCTGGAAAATGTTAATATTCAAGCGTTTCTTACATAATTGTCGCAGTTTGATGTTTTCTGAAGTGCGGCACAGATCAACAACTGATGCCTAAAAAAAGATAGTGTTGTACCACGATGTTTGCTTTTACGTGTCAGTGATTTGTGAAACACAAGGAAGCGTGCAACAAATAATAATATAAAAAAAACATCGAAAAGTCCATAAAGCACAACATGTAGCCGAGATTCATGTGGAGTACGGTCAATGTGGAGGTGCTTCATTTGACAGGGCCTGTCAAATTCGTCTTAATTCAAGGAGAACGCCCTTGTAGAAATTTTTTTTTTTTTTCAAATAAAAAGATGAATACCTTTACTTGTTTCGTTGTTGATTTATTAAAAGATGAGTTTAAGAAATATAAGTAATTTCAATTATTGTACTTATTAAAACAGCTATTCTGCGTTCCATTTACCTTATTATGCCTTATAAAGTTTAAAAACCACTTTCCCTTTCAGATGGTTCAACTTCGAGAAGGTTGTCAAAGCTCTGGTTGCCAAGAAAGTGTACCATTTAAACATGGAACAACTTCAGACCATTATCCAGAAACATTGCTTCATTGAAAACAAGGATGAGGTTGCCACTATGTTGAATTTCTATCATGACCTCGGCGTGATTGTCAAACACGGCAACACAGTTATACTTCAGGCTGAATGGCTTATTAAGCTGTTCAAGCAACTCATAACTGTTCGCTGTTTTGATGGCATGGTAAGAAGAAAACGTCAGTTGCATTTCCACACCCTCAAACTACAGTGTGGCTCTGACTTAAAATACGATCTGACTAGTCCTAGTGTGTTTTGCCTATTGCTTTTTGTTGATTGCTTTCTGTTAGTGCTGGACAGACTGATTCAATTGATTCTACTATTAGCGGCCCTACCTGGTGCCCTGGACCTAAAAGCATGAATTAAGCGGACACCCTCTATTAAGCGGAAAGTAGGCAAAGTCTTTTACAGTACTGTTTTCTCATTTTGTTTTGTTTGTACAGATCTTATTTTACTCATTTGATCCCCTAAAATTTGAGGTACAATCTTCTTTTAAAGTATTTTGATTAATTGGTCCGCTCACATAAGAAATTAGTGCAAACATATATTGTCATACTCTGAGTCTCTAGGAGTATTCCAAACGTTTCCACCATTCATTTGAATGGTATTTAACTCCTAACATGACATTCTCTACCGAAACCTGTATAAAGCGGACACTATACCATTCCCCGAGAGTGTCCGCTTAATGCAGGTTTCACTGTATCATGTTGCCAGAAAACGCTTTCTTCTCTTGTGTATCCTCCCTTGTCATTATCATTACCTCACGTGTGTGTTTTATTTTTCATTGTCACTATCTTTCAGGAACCAAGGCATTGTAGATTGTGGAAAGAAATGGAGAAAACAGGTGTTCTTAACATGGAACTTGTTGAACACGTGTTTTCCGAGTTTTGTCAGCAAGGAGTAGCCAAGGAGGATGTCCTTAAAATGATGATGAAGTTTGGATTGATCGTGCAATTTGCCCTCTCACCAACAGAAGAAAAATATTTTGTACCATGCCAACTAAGGTCACCTCCTGACAACCTCTGCATAAAGGAACTATCGCCTGGAGATCCATGTCCACTGTACCTTGACTTTCAGCGAATGGGCTACGTGCCTCATGGTCTCTATTTACAGCTTGTGTCACGATGCACCAAATGGTGCTCTACGAGTGGATTCAAGAGACCCCCTAAATTGTACGATGGGGCATCTATGTTTTTCATTGGGAAGGAGCTCACTCACCACATGATGCTTGTGTGCAAGAAAAGATTCATCAAGGTCGTTTTGAAGCAAATAAAACGAAATGATGGGTCCTCATGTGAGCCGGTATCAGCCAAAGAAGTACCGTTTCTGGTACGAACATTTTTGAATGAGGTGATGCAAAATCTGCCAGAGGCACTTCCCTGGCTTAAAAATGTAGCTTACAAACTATGTGTTAAGTGTCCTTATTGCCTGAAAGTGGAAAAACGATGTGCTAATCATGACCAATTCCCTTGCCACGACGAGCGCTGTTTGTGTCTTCTGACCGTTGCGCCAGATGGATCTTGCGAGTACTGTTTAGAGAGCCATTTGGATGAAATTCTTCCGCTTCCTGAACTCAAAAGGTGGTTCCCGAGCAGGAGCGAGGATTCCTCAATCAAAGGTGGGGCTTATAATGATAAAAAAAGGTTTCTCTAAAATTTCTAAGTCTTAAATTATTTGAGTTTGCGTCTTGTTATTACCCAGTATCATGGCCGTAGTTTGTCAATAGAGGTAGATTCCACTATTTCGCCTAATATTGCAAGAATACAGTAGTAGGGATGGACACTCGATCCTATTTAGCCATTGCGCATGTCAATTAAGATTGCGCCCAGTGTTCCACTTAAAGTCTTGGCCTTTCAGTACTTGGCCTTTCTGTACTTCCGAAGTACAGGTGGAAACACGTACTGTATCTCAGAAAAGGTTGCCCACTTCCATTCGGCAGTTTCCTGACAAAGAAGGTTATCAAGGTAGGATTTTTACGCGGGATGACGTAGTCAGCCAGCTTCTAAAATTCGGTAGCGCATTCCTTTCGTCGTCTTGGGAGTCAAAAATTGCCTTGTTTTTTTAACTTTCCCGTATCCCGAGCCCGTCCCGAAAAATTGTGTGGATTTTTATTGGTCGCAACGTCGAAGCACATGCAAGTCAGGCTGGATTGGACAAGCCGAAAAAAGATACTGCGTCAGCAAAGGAGGGAAAAGTCAGTACACTGTGTAGAGGAGGACGTAGCCTGCGTAGCAAGCGTTTCCTCGCGAGGTTCGTCTAGAAAACTGGGACAAGGGCAAAAAAAAAAAATGAATGACAACCTTTTTTTTGCTTCCGCTCTAACTTTCGCGCAATAACTCGATTGGAAACGCTTGCTACGCAGGCTAAGGAGGACGAAGACGCAAGGCCGTGCTCTTAATACGGCGCAAGACTTGGCCTCGGGCGACTGAAAATATTGTCTAGGTGGCCCAGCCTGGCGACTTGCTGATGTTGGTTTCTTGTTTCTGTTGAGTTACAGTCAAAAAGCTAAGAATGTCGAGAATTTATTACTTGCGAAATCGTAGCTCTGCCTCTCTCGGTGGCTTCGCGGCCTAAAAAGAACGCTTCGCTGGCTAAGAAACTCTTGAGGTCGACATGTAAGTAGCAATAAGTATTATGTCTATCAAAAAGCTTTAGGAAAATGTTGTGAAATCGGGCACCGGGCACGCGTTGATGTTCAAAGGTGGTTTCACGTGAATTCACATGTCACATAATCCTTGACTATGAACGTGACAAGCTGCACAGTTTTCGATAGTAACAGCTTTTCATAGTGACATTGAAATTTTTTCTTTAAATTAGGATTGTTCATTAGTTAGTTTCTCAAAACAAATTGTTGCTTTTGCTCTGACAGGCGTGAAGTACGGTCGGCGACGCAAAACAATAGTTTTGTATTTTGAAAATGGCTGAATAAACAAGGGAGTCGGTCTTTTATGTTCTTTAAATATTTTTACCTTTTTTTACTGCTGTGTCTGCGAGGCTAAAACATAACTAAGATTGTTATTCCAGTAAAATACGATGCATAAAAAAGAAAAGAGACGACTATTATAATTGTGATTGTTCTAGAATCGGGTATAAATCCCTCATTGTCTTTCGTGTCGTGACAAGGCATTTAATACGTATCACGTACTAAAAATAAATATGCAAAAGCTAACCGAATCTACATTTGTCCTGAACATTTCACCGGTAATATAGAAAGAAAATACTTCCGTTTTGTGCTTAAACGACGACTTTACAACAAGATGATCTATTCAAAAGAGATAATAGTTTTGGGGCGGCCCCCGGTGGGGGGGGGGGGTACTTCCTTATAAAGAGGCTAATGGGGATGTGCCGCTGGATGGGGACGCATTTTCACGACTAGATTGACTATTAATAGAGTTGCATTTTCAAAAGAGTTACTAGAATGGGGTCGTACATTTTCGGATTTTCGGGAGACCTGTTCATATTTACGGTTAGCAAACGTACCAGGATATTTGTACTGTAGGTGAAAAAAAAAATGTTCTTCATTCAATTTATTTAAAAAATGGGTCAATTCATTTTTTGATGATCTATTTAAAGGATTGATAAGGTAGATACATAAATAGAAAGTGACTAAGTTGAGATCGCAAAAATTACATATTTGCCCAAGAGTGACTAATATGGGGTCTACAATTGGCCACAGAAAAGACTATAATAGGGTAGGGGCTCTGAGAGGCCAGAGGCATATACCCAGCAAAAGTTAACGCGAGTACCGCCCCCCCCCGGGGGGGGGGCGCCTCGGTTTCGTTGAAATCATAACAGTTTTCCTGGAAAGCTCCACGGGATCTCAGTCAATCTTAATAAGCGAATTTTCTTTTCAACCTAAATCAAAATGATTAGTAAAAAGAATTGCGCCCTTATTTTTGACCCCAAATTTACTTTTCAATTTAAAAAACATGAAATGTTCGGTTCCGTTGTCCATGCTTCTCATATGGCGCGAAAACTTACTTTCATATGACAACATGCGGGTTTTTTTTCGCACGCTCAGGATGTCAAAGGGATGTGATTTTTCATGAAAAAAATATTCACAAAATTCTGCTTGAGTTGTTAAGAAAATAATATTTGTTTAATTTTTAATAATTAATCAACAGCTCATCGATTTATTAATTTGGGCGACCGACTTGGAGGCCCCGGCACCCCAGCTAAAAATGCTTGGGGAACCAGCCCAAAGGGCTCCCTGAAATTTTCCCTAGACCTCTTCCTTGCAGCCCTGTAGTTATTGAAAGTATGATACATTACATGCTATTGTTAAATGTGGAAGTGCATTTTTTTAAGGACATTAGTAAAGGAATGCAAATTTTAGTGAACTATCCCATACTCCTAACATATATGGTGGTAATATTGATGTAAGTTTTGTTTTGAGTAGCAAAGGAACGCTTGTGTGTAACTCATCTTCTAGTGTATTAGTCCTTAACAGAACATCTCCGTCTCTCCTGCACACATTTCTGACATTTGTTGCATACACTACTCAACTTTCCATTGCCATCCAACATAATTCTTTCTTAAACCCACACATCCCGCGTAAACTCCTTCGGGCGTCTTCTTGTTTAGGGATGTTACTAAAACGGGAAACGGGAAAATGAAAAACGGGAACAAAACATAACTTGAACACGTTTCAGCTAGTTCAATCGGTCAAACGAAACGAATTCCAGAGATAGACCATTTTTGCGAAAAAATTTTCACTCGGACCGAGCTTCTCGATGGAAATTTCCAGACAATTCGGCACAATGGAAAGCACTCCCAGTATGCCTAGTATACGCACTATTTGGGGCCAAATACGTGAGCCGTCTGGCCCGATATGCAGTTTTGCCGAGATCTCGGCACCTTGGGTAAACATGGCAAAATTCAACTTTCAAACTCGTCCCCAGGGTTCGCAGGGTAGTTCAACTTTGTGATTACTTGACAATAGAGATAGCCCGGCAAATTGACAAAGGAACCGAGCCTGGATCATGTAATCAGGCCCTTAGGCTGCGTGCAAACGGACGCAACGACTCCCAAAATTGTTGCGCCAACAATGTTGGGAGTTGTTGTGTGCATGTTGGCAGTGGTGTGCAAACGGACGCAACAACTCCCAACATTGCTGCGCCAACAATGTTGGGAGTTGTTGTGTGCGTGTTGGCAGTGGTGTGCAAACGGATGCAACAACTCCCAAAAATTTTGGGACCTGCAGTGCATCGTGGGAAGGATACAACCCATAAGTCTTTGTAAACCATGCGTAATGAGCGTGCGTGGCCCCAACAATGTTGGAAGAGCTGTGCAAACGGATCCAACATTGTTGCGCTACGCTTCGGCGATCACGGAGCAAAAGAAATGTTGGGAGTTGTTCGCTGAAAATTTTGACCTGTTTCAAACTTTGCGCAACAACACGCAACAACATCCAACAACATGTAACATCCAGCAATGTTGGGAGTTGTTGGCCAACAATGTTGCGTCCTTTTGCACGGGACTTTACTCTAAAAAACTCAGTAAAAACATGACCCCCTGCAAATTAATGAGATTCCTTCTTCTTCTCATTTTTACTTTCATGCGATTTCTTGGGGCTGCAGTTAAGGAGGGCATTCCATCGGACGACGATCTGGAACTCCTGTCAGTGAAAGTTGAAAAGTGGAAACCGCTTGGGCGTCGGCTAAAACTTGAAGCCGCAGAATTAACAGCACTTCACCAGGAAAACGAAGAACTGTCTGAGAAAGTATTTGCAATGCTGATAAAGTGGAAACAAAAAAATGCTTTCGAGGCTACTTACCGTTGTTTATATGACGCCCTCTGTCATAAATTAGTGAATCGGAAAGATTTAGCAGAAGAATTTTGTTGTAGATGTTCTGAACCGGAAGGTTAACTGAAGTGTGGTAAATCGATATTACAGGTGAGGTTTTCAAACGTCTTACTTATAAATGCTCATTTTTTTATTATTTTAGGTTTTAAAGCATTTAACTCATTTACAACTCAAGACCCATTTACACTATCGATTCTTTGGTGGTGTAAATGGAAGGATGTGGATATGGTTGCCAATGTTACACGTGTTTTCATTTACACCGCTACTAAGGAAAACGTGTCCAATTTCCGGTAGAGTGGTACCATGTAAAGGGAGGGGATAGAAACTGAGGGGGATGGAGAAGGAATGACTTACCTCTTCTTTCCCTCTTCTCGTGTAGTAGAGGTAAAGCGAGCTTATATTGTGGAGTTTATAACATCCTTTTTGTAGTGACAACTTTAAACTTAGAATGACAAGTCTTATCTTTGCACAAGAATACTCGGCGACATTTTAAAAATGCTTACTTTGTTTTCTCGAATGTTTTGCGTGAGCCTAACATTGTTACGCGCAGGAAATGCGTTTCGTCTGATTTCATCCGTCTGTTTAGTTTATAGACGGAGTTTGAAGACGAACTATCCGTCTAAGACGGATAATTCGTCTTGAATTCTCCTCAGACAGTCAATCTAAAAAACGGTGCGTTGCACTCTGGGATGAAAAACACAGCGCCCCAAGTGCTAGCAAACGAAGGCAAAAACGAGACCATTACTTCACCAAAAATGACCAGTCTCTTTTTTCTTTCTTTCGTTTTGGATTTTAAAGGGTTTGCTCCAGCAGCACACCACTCGATGCATAACCCCTTCAGGGTTAGCTTGCAAAAACAGCCGTTTCTCCTCGCCCGGAGAAACGGCTGTTCCGCAGGCTACTTAAGGTTCGGCTCTGAAACGTTTCCAGAGTGGTAAATTTTAACGCTTTTCGATAAGCATGAGATGGAATGGTAACCGCGACAGAACTTCGAAGGCATGGTTCATCCGTCTAATGTGAATCCGTAACAAGGCAAATTTAAAATGTATATCCGTCTCGAATTCACATGTACACCAAGACAGTAAATAAACCAGAAGGATTATCCGTCTCTAGGGTGAAAACAGCCATTGGGCTTGATTCTTGATCTTTCTATTTAACGGCGGATAGTATTTACTGATGGACTGAAATTTTTTCAGATCTACGTGACAAAGGACGTCAGCGAAAGAAGAGCACTGGAAAGAGATTAGCATAAAGCAGAGCTGATGACTGAAGGTACGCTTTATGTCGTAACGTTAATTAGATCCATACGTAGGACAACAATACGCAGCATTACAGGTGTATTTTGTCCTGTTCGACCCGGTGGATAAAAACGTGTTTGTTCAAGAACCATGAGACTATTACGACTGGAACGGAGGCCTATCGTTCTTGAAAGAAACTGAGAAAGAATTATTTGCAGTTTTTCACTATTGTACATGACTCCACGTAAAACGTATAATAATGAAAGAAAATCATGCAGGAGATCTTAGAGCAAAGGTCCCTTACATGCGCCCTTCTCCTGGTCTGTTGAGTAAATTTTCCAGAGGAGATATGTAACTATTACTCTTTGATAAGACGAAGACGCATTACATTAGTGAAGACGAAAACTTTGCGTATTCAAAGACCATAGCAAATTGTAAATGTATTATTATCTAGTTCGCTCAGGACTTTTCAGGGATAAATTACAACACTGGTTGGGGGGCTTTTGACAGATTGCTTGTGGTGCAGTTTAAAATTAATGAGGTGATGAGTTCATAACGAGAGAACGTTATTTTCTCTTGGTTATGAATGCCCCCTAATGTGAATGCGAATTTAAGATAGACCTCTACATCGGGTACTACTCCCACCACATTTTACGAATAATGTGTGGCTTCTTTAACATCCCACTTAATATGCAAGGTTGTGAAACAGGGTGTACGGTTTATCTTTCCTATCCGTGAAGACTAGAAAGTCTAGCCGTTTGCGGATGTCATTGCAAAAGCAACACGGTCTCCTTAGTTATTTTAAGGCCCCGAGTGTTGGTTTGACCAGGGTATGAACCGTCGACCTCCTGCTTGGCATACCGGCGCTTATCCAACCGGGCGGCAGTATCGTCTAAAATCAGTGGCTTTCGCTATAACGCCATGTTTACTTTTATGATTTTTATTCTAACCTTTTCTCTCTGCAGCCGGTTTGGTTTTATCAGCAGCTGCTGCTTCTGTAGCTTATAGATTCAGCCATGGTCTGGCACCCATCAGGGGATACGCCCCTCTTCGTTCTTATTAACAGCATTCACGGCTCCTTCCCTGATCTCCACAACCTTCATCAGCCCCGTCGACCATCTCTAACACTGGCGGACCCTTGGGTAGCGATCTTTAGCTCGTTAGTGGTTCTGACTTGTCTAAAGTTACACTGGACGAATCCGAGTTGGAGAGTTGGTTCGTGAATGAGGTAATAAGGCCGCAACCTCGAAGCCTTTCTTGGATATTTATATTATTATTAAACAACAGTGTTTAGGGTTCATCGTTACTGAAAGCAACTCCAAGGATAAGTATTTTATTCGGTAACAAACTATTTGTTAGGAAAATTCTCGAGGTTCGCTGGGTTGCAAAGTGGACAACTCAACGTTGAACTCTGACTTTTGTAATGAAGGGCGTTAGTCAGGAATCATCTTCACGAGGATGCCGGCCTTTGTGAATCAGAGACCTCAAACTTGTTGACAGGATCGTCATTTAACTTAGGTGGGCTTTGAGGTTGTAAGACACAGTGAAGACAGTTGAAAGGATATTATTACAATCATTGATTAGTCAGGAACAAGTTGAGCGATATTATGAAATGGGGTTTTGGGGTCGGTCAGATCAATGCAATATATAGGCTTCTGCTAAATATATAACGTTAGCTGGTTATCTCCCAAACATAGGCCGTAACATTTTGATATGTCAACATGTTGAAAAGCAATTTCTTTACTTATTTAAGTATAAACTGTATAAAGGTTTGAACTGAAGCTTCTGCGAGATAAAACCTTCGTTTTTTTGTATTCTTCACAGAAGACGAGGCCACAGACTGAGATCCGGGAACGGCCCGTGCCCCAGTGTTTGTCCGCTAATCAGGAAAAGAAGCTGGGTTCACGAAACCTTCGTTGGATATTTTTACTAGAAAGAGGTTAGGAGTATGGCTTTATAGATTAGTCCCCTAATTTGTTACAATATTATTGATGGCAGAGATATCCAGCTTCGCTGGTCTGTATGAGTATAATAACTATGCGTTTCCTCCTTACACCCGTAACGAAACGGAGAATGATTGACACTAAGTGAGAAAGGGCTCCAGAGAGATCGGTTTGACCGTCAGGTTTCACTTAAGCTGATCATTTTGCGCTAGTGTCCTGCTCTTTTTGGCTTCACGGTCAGATAGTTATTCCACAAACGCCGGCGGACGTACCCTAACAGGGATTTGCTGCATAAGCGTTTTAGTTTTAAAATTTGTCGTTTAAGATCTAAAGTTCTCTTCATATCTGTTCTCTAGCAGAGCCCGTTAGCCCAGGGCGACATACTTGTGTCCTTACAAGGAATCTTAGTTTCTGCAGAAAAAACCGAGCACTGCACATCCTGAATTTCATAGGTGCTGCACGTTTTATTTAGACTACAGCTTTGCTTACATAGCTTTCTTGACGTAAGGGCCACTTCTTTGTTGATCATTTATTCCTAATCGTCCAGAAAGTAAAAACCCTTACATGGTACACGATAGTTATTAGCTCCCTACCCGGACGTATTTTCGTACGTCGCGCAACACTTCATCCCAGTTTGGAAGGACTGTTGCATGACGAACCAAACGTATGTTCGTGTAGGAGGCTAGATGAACATGGCATTGTTGTAAATTACGATACACGTAGCTGAATAATCGTCGAGAAGATGATCTGGCCACTCAGAGAAGATCACACGTCTGAGGTGGTTTAGGGAAGAAATTCTCCTTTGTGGTCTACTGTTCATAACAAAGTGAATAATTTTCTTTTGGCTTGATTATTAGCAGGCTATGGCAGAGATGTGGAGAAGCACTCGCCCCAGTACTCACGACGCACCATCTCGTTTTCACGGTCCAGAAACCGTAATGCCAGCTCAAGCGCATTTCTATCGTGCTGGTAAGGTTTCCAGTTCTCTTATGTAGCCCCCCTTCCCCCCCCAACCCGCCACCTGTAGCTAAATTCTGACTGATTTAAACCCCAGTGAGTCAACGAACAGCACTTCACTCATTACCTAGAGGAACCTGAAAAAGGTAGGGGAGGGGGTGGGGGGTACAAATCCCATTGTCCAGCCTTCAGCCTTACATTCTGTCAAACCCCACTCTCCCATTTAAAGTTTGCCTCAAATGTTATTCCTAATGGACCAACAAATAATAAGAAAAGAAAGCTAAATCCCGTTTTTTCAGGCCAGAAATGGTCAAATCTTAATTCTCATTTTAACCCTTCAGATCCCTCTCACTGCTGTACCATTACGTTTTTTGTGCGATCCTAATTTCTGCCTTTTTCCCTCTGTAGCTGGGCCTGTTTTCTTCTGCGGTGCATAAATTCAACTACGGCATGGCACCCTTCGGTGGATACCCCCTTTTTCATGTTAATCCACAGCAATACTCCTCCCCCTATAGCATCACCTGTTATCACAGCGTCCCATCTGCCATCTTTTCCCCTGGAAGGTCCTTATGTCAACCGTCACACATCCGCCCGAAATGCGGGAATTTTTTTCCCCTCATGAGACGCGGGGAAGGCCACTACATAGCTTTCAACCCCAAACTACAATTCCATGGGTTATTAATCTTAGAGGTTTGGGTGTGTCTACAATCACTCACCTGCCAAGAATCCAAGAAACGCTAAGACCACCACTCCATGGATTGCAACACCAAAGTACAATTCCATGCCAGACGTTGCGAATCGTGGTGGTTATGGTTTATCAACCGACACCCTCCAGCCACAAATCCCAGTATTACGTGCCTCGAATGGGACGTCTGGTCCGTCACTGCGTGAATTGCAACCGCACCTTCTATTTATTAATTATTTATTAATTATTAATATTTCTATTTATTATTGAGATAATATTTATTAAAAGTTTTGGAGACAAAAACACTGTTGTTCTGCAAAGCGATTTGTTTTGTTTTCGCCCGAAGTAACATGGTTTTTCTAGAAGGGAGCTTTGACCTTTTTGTTTAAGCCCCAGTCCACACTTACCTGTTTTATTTAGAAACAGATCATTGTTCTCCGGAGAGACCGCAAACCCGACTTTTCAAAAATGCTCTTTTTCTTTCCAGATGAAATCGGAAATTTTGGAAAACGACGATGTAACATGTGCGGGCAAGAGCCATAATAGGACTATTGTGATCTCTTGATGCGGGCCTGATAATCACAGGGAGTTTAATTGTTTAAATCAGTTTTTGAGCGACGCGCGTCAACCGGAAGTGGACGTTTTGCAATCTTTGGCCGTGATTTTGATCAAATTGTTTAGCAGATTGTCTCCATCAGAGTAAAGACACTTAGCAATACAAATTTGGTAGCGTCAAGGCATATGTTAATAATATTTATTTAATAATATTTTAAAAAGGGAAAAAGAGCTCACTTCCAGTTGACGTGCGTCGCTCATAAGGGGAGGGGGGCCGGTAATCCAGACCCTTAGAAAAGGGGGGCGGGGAGGGCGCGGTCTCCAAAAAACATTTTTTCGGCCCTTCGGGCCTCAGTTTGGTCTAAATATAAGGGGGGCGGGCCCCTCGTGCGCCTCCCCTGGATCCGCCACTGAACAATCTACTATAACATGCATGATATGACCTTTTGTTATAACTAATAGCTTGTCGTAAGTAAAGTTTTCCTTTCAGGATAATTGTTTATAAAACTTATGCCAGAAGACGACTCAACGTAATCAGCAAGGCTACTGTAGTATTCACTAGCTGTCTTGAAAATCGAAGACAGCCGGCGTTAACTAACTGAACAGAGGCTCAAAGTAACCTGGGAGGGGCACTCTGTCATATGCCTGTGTTCTGAGGGACTGGCTACCTTAATAGTAACAGGCAGTCAGCGTGTTCTTAAAGTCCTTTTTTTGTGGTTAGTAGGTCGGGAGGAGAAACTTTCCGCGACTTCGTCAACCCGCAAAAACTGTCGTTAACTGTTCGCAAATTTTAGGCTTGCTCTGAAATTGACGGAAGTTCCACTTTATACCCTCCTGTCCAATCAGGAGCCCATAACCAATACAGTCGAAACTCTCCTTATGCATACTTTTCTACTGCAGACATTTCTCTTGGCTCTTCAGTACGGCGTAACAGGAGCCACAATAATGGGGAAACAGCTGTCTATGGCCGCAACCCTGCTCATTTTTGGGTTCTTTCGGTGTGGTGTTGCTGTCTTGCAAAGCTAATTTTCACGTAGTACGATCAGCTTTACCAGAATTCGATGCGTCTACTTTGTATATTTTTGCTGATCAGGTCTTCTGTAGATCCTACGTTCTATGGTATATTCCGCCGTTGACTGTGAGGAGGCTGGCAGAGACTTTCTTGGAGTCCCTTTTTTTTGTAACTTCTGACTTTTACTTTTCGGTTTTTCGGACAGCCTGCTTTTCGGGCGGAGAGAAGCAAAGACCGGAAACACGTCAGCGTTCGCAGGCTACCCTACAGCCGTGACGAGACAAAACAAGACTGCGATCAAGACTACCTAACTGAAGGATGTTGAACAAAACCACGGAGGGTGTATCCGATCTGTTAGAGGATAATTCAATGTGCTGAAGAACTTCAATAAGTAGGGGCACCCAACAACTGTTTTCTGTAAAATATCTGCTTGGAGAAGCAAATATTGCCTCGAATTGTCTATTTCTTGAGGACAACTAAAAATGTCTCGATGACCGTTCCATTCAAGTGCAGTTTTCGAGGTTTATGTAGTAGATTCCCTAAGTCTTTCTAAAGTTTAATTTTTCACATTTCACTGTCCAGGTTAAGCTTTTTTTCGTTCAAAAAGGAAACCTAAAACTCTCGGATTCAGAAATGTGATGCTGAAGTAAAATTCTTCCCTTCGTAAAACGTTAAATTACATCTAAAGTTTTCGGGAAAGTAATGCTGAATCCCTCGTAATTTCGAAAAGACTCAAGTTCCCCTAGGATGACCGAACAGATACAAATTTTATAGCGCCGCTTGAAGTGCATTTCTAGATATCTAAAAGTACTCCGGACAGCCCAAAAAGTGTTTTCAATGTACAGTCAAACCCGCTTTACGGACATTTTGCTTTGTCCTTGGGGAAAGAAAGTTCTTATATTTTCTCTAAATTGAACCCGCTTAATGCGGACACCCCGTTAGTACGGGCACCTTTTATGGCTCCCTCAGTGTCCGTATTTAGGGGGTTTGACATTATTTAAGAGCAAGAACTTTCCGCGACTTCGTCAATCTGCAAAAAATTTCGAACAGTCACTTTCGCAAATGTTTAACCGAAGTTCCAAGGTATAGCCTTTAACTGTCCCATCAGGAGCCCATGATAACCAATACAGTCGAAACTCTCCTAATGCAGACTTTTTTACTGCAGACATTTCTCTTGGTTCCGAGGTTACAAAACTTCATACAGTCTGAACCTGTTTATTAAATGCATGGTGACATCTTTTTAACGCAAGCGCGATAATGGGGACATTTGGCTTCGTCCGGCTTGTCCATAATAAAGAGGTTTGATGATTGTACTCGTTTTGCGACTTAACTCCCATCGCCGCGTGACCATAATATATATAGTACCTCGCTCCCAGACGTTATATAACGTCATACCTGAAACTAAGGCAGTTATCTGTGCCACGAAGCAGGGTTCATTCCACATCTTCACATCGTCTGGTGCGGACGCCCACTTCTGATTCCCGAACAAAGGTTTGTTTTATACATGATTTGCATCAACTTTAAGTCTTTAAGGCATTACCTACTAATAATTTAGTGGTAAAGGACGTCAATGACTTTATAAGTATGTAATAGTATTTTTCTTTTAAACTTGGCTGACTTATTTTGCTCGCTACGTGGCAGTGATTATAATTTATGGCAAACTCAGACTTTCTGCATTTTCGTCCGTTTGTAAGATTAAGTGCAGGTAAGCAAGGGCTTCACTGATGTCTCCGTTTGTCTGGCGTTCAGTTTTGACTCTGTGTACAAAGTCATGAGGACAGGAATCGGCCTCTATTTTCAGTCTCTATTTTCTCCGCAGTTTCGGGTTTTGTCAAATTCAGTTTGCACTAATGACGTAGATTCCTTTTTAACGATTTTAGTGTAGACATTTAAGACTTCATAAAGGCGCTAAAGAAATATTTCGCCCATACTTACAAAAAAAGGACCTTTCAAGATCAAAGAGCCGTGAACGTGAAAGCATGAACGCTATTTACGGAAGATGTCGAAAATTATGTAATTTTAGCATCCGCAGTGTAGGCAGTAGAGTGAACCAAGCAAAATGAGATAACATGACATAGAACTGCTGTGTTTCTAATTCTTTTTCGCTGACTCTTCTGGAAAAGATTCGCGTGAGTTATTCTATTTTATCAGTTTCATCCAGACGCGACGGATAAAGGTTCTACCCACTTACTGTTCACGCGATATTACACTGCCAATCCAGTACAATCCATCAGTTTTTTCTCTCTTGCTTTTAGTGTCTTCAGGGGTTTTTTACTTTGCTTCTAGTTGGAAAATTTTCCACGGGAAAATGAGCAGAAAAATGTACATGAACTGTTCATTTTTATTTGACCCACTCGTGAACATCTTTGACGCGACATCATGTGTCAAGTCTTGACCTCTTTTTAGACTTCTTAATAAGGCTTCTGTTTTCTTCTGAACACACCACGCCAATATTATGTCCTTTAAAATATATGAACTGCGTTCAATTTCAATGCAACAATATCAAAAAAACGGTGAAAAAGGGACAACTGGTCTGTCTGGTCTACACTATAAAACTACTTTGTTGTATTAAAAGTAGCGTGATTCTGCGTAAATTCCAAAGCGTATTGTCTTTGCATATCGGCATATCAAGGGTGCGTCCGGATTTAGATTTTCAAAATCTAAATCCGGATTTCCCAATCGAACGCACCCCAAGTGTCGTTTTCGTAAATCAACAAGATTCTATTTACATATATTACCGTGTAGCATGAAAATTTTGCGGGTTCTAATTTTTGCGAATTTTGCGGACTGACCTCGATCCGCAAAAATTAGTTCCCGCAGAACAAAAAACGCAACATAAAACGCCGCAAAAATTAACTCCCTTTAGTCAAATTAAAAAATTCCTCTTTTAATGGACTTGTTGTGTATGGTAGGGATAGGCTTTTGTTTTGTTTTGCTGTTGTTCAGTCCCTTTGTGCAGTAAGATATTACAGTGATTACCGTATTATTCTCCATTAAATATGTAAGTAGAGTGAACTTTGACTCAACATACCGTAAAATAAAAGTTGAAAATACCATATTAAGGTTTCTTTCACTTAAATATTCTGTTACTTGAACAGAGAATCGCAAAAATTAGTTCCGACCAGAAATTTCAGTCATCTCGAACCGCAAAAATTTGTTCCCGCAAACCACAAAAAATCGCCAATCCGCAAAATAAAACTGCCGCAAAATTTTCACGCTACACGGTATACAAAATCGAATCATGATCAACAACTAAATCTCATGCAAGCCTCGCAGCTCGTCTTTCTTAACAATCGCACTTCATGCACAGGTTTGTGAACGATTTTCATCTTCTTAGTGTTTAAGACATTTCGACCAAACAGAAGATCAACTTTTACGTGTAATATGTCGCAATCACTTCTCCTTACGAAACAATGAATTATCTAAGGAGTAGCTAGACAGTCACACCCATCTACTTAAAAAGATCAATCATTTATCAATTCAATTCAAGTCGATAGTTCTCTTGTTCATATCGGTATTTTCTCTTCCATTTTTAGTTTCTTCTTTTACGATTTTAAAATTCTTAAACTCAAGTCAAAAGGAATTTGCTAACAAGTCGGACACTCTATCAGCGGTGAAGACGTCAAGGTATGTTGATGATGGCGTCCTTTCTTGACCTTTCAATTTGATTTGTTTTTTCTTTTGAACACACAGCACCAACGTTGTGTAACCTGCGTTCGAAATGAAATAAAGTAATAACAACATAAAGCAAAA